GCGGGACAGAAGCTGGTCCGGCATGCTGTCCGTCCCTAAGGTGGCTGTGGGTGGGATGCACACGGCTGTGTTTCCATCACCTTCCTCCCCAATGGCTGGAGGAAGCCACGAGGCATTTCCAGATAGACCGGGTCTCCCCTCTGTCACCCAGGCTAGTCCTGGAAGGAGCAAGAAGTTAGGAAGGAAAGGTGTCTGTCATCATTGCCCTAAACTTCTGTAGTCACTGGAGACAAAACTTCCAAACACCATGCTCCTCCCTCTTTGAGAAGTTGCCTCCATTTCAAGGACCGAGAGCAGCGGGCACCAGTGGGTGGTCACTGTGCGTGGCAGCCAGTGTTTGCTGTCCCCAGGTACTACTTGAGTCCCGTAGGGACATTCCCATTATATTGTCACCCTCATTCCCTGACTGAGTGATGGAGTAGCTCACTTCGGGTTGTGGGGACCCCCCTGTGGTGGTGTATATTAATGGACTGTCACCCAGCAAATACTTGCTGAACACCAATAGCTACTGAGTGTTGATTCGGTCCTGGGAAGAGAGATGAGTGGACAGCCCCTGCTCTTGGGAGGCCACTGTGTCTAGGAGTGACATAGTGGCGTGCTAGCACGGTGGCAGACCCCTCCGCCAGACACAGCAGGGACAGAAGCAGGACTGGAATCATTGGGTAGACTAGGCTGTGTGGCACCCCGAAGGAAAGGACGCTTTTGAAGGCGGTGCGACAGTGCAGCTCAGGAGTTCGCGTGGATTGTAGGGCTGGCACTGGAAGGCTGTGGCGAATTCCTGGCTCGGGAATCTGGAGCCGTGGAGATCAGGGCGGTGACCAGTGTGTGAGCGGTGACAGGCTCCGCAGGAGACCAGAAGGGAAGACCAGGAGTTAAGGTGTAGTGTACAGGCAGGACCAGGAAAGGCAGGATGGTGACAGGCCGTGGGTCTGGGGCAGCAGACACCAGAACATGGTACACCGGGATGCTCGTGACAACCAGCCCCTCTGCCTTTCTCGGGGCGGGAGAGGCCTCTTGATAGAGCGCCGTAGGCAGAGACTTAGTGTGTACACACCCATGCTAGGCAAACCACACGTAGACCACAAATATGCAAGTGGACACACACACTCCCCACGGGGAGTGAACATTTCCTGGCCCCATCCTCTGTGGCATTTGACCTTTTCGAGAAGGAACTCCGCGAAGTGTGGTCTTGGGAAAGGTGGCTATTGGAGGAGCTGACGCCCACCGAGCCGCCCTGTTCTGCTCTGTAGGACTTTGTGTTCTACGCCCCGCGCCTGAGAATCAACAAGCGGATCCTGCAGCTCTGCATGGGGAACCACGAGCTGTACATGCGCCGCAGGAAGCCCGACACCATCGAGGTGCAGCAGATGAAGGCCCAAGCCCGGGAGGAGAAGCACCAGAAGCAGCTGGAGCGGTGAGTGGCCAGAGCCTGAGACAATGTCAGCACGTCTGTGGGCGTCTGGGACCCCCGGCCTGGGCAGGGACTGCCCCCGGGAACCTCTCCCGCCCGATTTATCACAAACCATCCAGGCCAGCGGCTGTGTCTGCGGGTCGGGGTCCGCCTCCCTCACCCTCCCTCGGTGTCTCTTCCCTGTACCAGACAACAGTTGGAAACGGAGAAGAAGAGGAGAGAGACGGTGGAGAGAGAGAAGGAACAGATGCTGCGGGAGAAGGAGGAGCTGATGCTTCGGCTGCAGGACTATGAGCAGAAGACCAAGAGAGCTGAGAAAGGTCAGCAGCTCGGGTTGCCTGCCCCTTCCCGCCCCACTCCCACAGCCAAGAGGGCACCCGGTCAAGAGTGCTGTCTGTTTAACACAACCCCCCCCCCCCCCCCACAAAGTAGATGACGATGTCGTCACTGAGATCAGAGCAGTCCTGTGCTGTATTAATGTCTGTGCCTGTCACATTTAATTTCCCACTACTTTCCTGAGACTGTTCAGTGAGGTAGAGTCAAACTGTAGCTAAACTCCACAGTCAGGGGCAGAGATGTGGGACACATTGCTTCCTTGCCTTTTAGAATCCATACCAGATCCACTTAGCACATACTCAGCTGTCATAGCCAGCTTGTGACAGCTCTACCATACATTCCTGCCCTCTGGGGACACTTAGAATAGAGGGGATATGCTGCTTGCTGGAGCCTGAAAGACACCAGCAGGCCATTTCTGTGTCTGAGTCAGTGTCCAGGTGATGAGTGGTAAGGGTGTGCTGTGGAATATGGTGCCATTAGGGTGCAGCAGGGTTAGGCCCAGCCCAGGAATGGGGTGTCTCTCCAAGCTGCTCCTCGGTGGTCTCCACACGCTAAGTTATCTTAGAAACAGCAGGAAAGAGCCCCGAGATGTCCCTGCTTCCGAGCCCAGGACTCAATCTAGGGCTTTGCGATTCTGGGATCAGTTGTCATCCGTTCTCCATCAGCTCACTTTGGGATGGGAAGGCCGAGCCTCATTTCCTGCCTGCGAGTCTGAGTAGCTCTGACTCCATGTTCTCCGCAGAGCTCTCTGAGCAGATCGAGAAGGCCCTCCAGCTGGAGGAGGAGAGGAAGCGAGCCCAGGAGGAGGCTGAGCGCTTGGAGGCCGACCGCGTGGCCGCCCTGCGGGCCAAGGAGGAATTGGAGAGACAGGCTCAGGATCAGATAAAGAGCCAGGAGCAGCTGGTAGGATTGCCCGGTTTCAAGATGCTCAATTATGGAGAGGCTGTTCCTGGGGAGTCAAACAAGCAACACCTGCCTTGCAAAGCTTTCGGCTAAGGCTGTAAGCAGATCTGCTGCTGCAGCCGCAGGGAGCGAGCGGGCGGGGGTGGGCTGGACTTGTCTGAATCCTCAGTCAGGGAGGTGGAGGTGGGTGCCCAGAGCCCCACAGACACACAGGGAGGTGCAGAGAAGAGTCCCCTGACCATGAAGGAGGAGGGGGCAAAGCTCATCACCAGGGAGGCCGTTCATTCTTGTGGGTGAATGTTGGGTCACCAATGGACTCTGCCAGGCGGATTCTAGAAACCGCGGTGCCCTCCCCTCTAGGCGGCAGAGCTGGCAGAGTACACTGCCAAGATCGCGCTGTTGGAGGAGGCTCGGAGGCGCAAGGAGGACGAGGTGGAGGAGTGGCAGCATCGGGTGAGTCCGACCCCAGAGACCGGCACAGCCGTGGGGACACCTGGGGCGGGGAGCGTGGCAGAGGGCTCTAGCTCAGCTGCAGGTCACATCACAAGCTTCTGAACCCGCTCAGAATCCTCTGCAATCCCCCAAGGAACAGCCTTGACCCTGTTGAAGAGGTAGACCCAGCAGGCTGGCGTTGGATTAGCAGAGGAACAAAAGACCTACTTAGTCCTTTGCCTCCCTTTGCCTCCCACCTCCCACGCTCTTTCGACCATGATCAGACACCCCCCGATCGATCGGGAGCTAGATTTGATTCTAATTGCTTGGGTGCCCCCTGTGATGGGGTCACGGAGCTTTGAAGCGGGATATGACAGAGTATACTCTTGAACCTTGGAGGTCCCCAGACCAACGTGACAGCCCAGACTCACCTCTGAGCCTGCTTCCTCAGATTGGGGCGGCGTCAGTGTGGCCTTCTGCCTTGTGTCAGTCAGGGTCAATCGGCTATAGGTGAAACAGGGCCCAGACCTCCACTTGTGTTCCCATGTCCCTCTCCACATGCCCTGCTTCTAGGAGTCCCTTTCTGGGGCTGCCCTGGGCCTGCATCTCCCATCCATACCTTACATGTTCTCCAACCTGTTGCACGCAGGTGAAGAAAGCCATTTGTAGGGCAGATGGGGAAGGGGGTGAGGGGGATGAGAACACCACTCAGAGCGAGAGGCATGCACAGACACTGCATAGTTGGAGAACACAGCCACTGAGTGTATACTAGGAACACAAGCAGAAAGAAATGGTGCTCTGAAGTGCCCGGCGTCTGGACATGTGTGGCCCCACTGTTGCTGAGAGCCAAGCAGAGGCAGAATCCCTAGGCTCCCTGCTGGCAGACCACGCCACTTCTTACGAGACGGGCTGTGGGAAAAGAGTTCTCATTTGACCAGCGGTCTCCTCCCCAAAGGCCAAAGAAGCCCAGGATGACCTGGTGAAGACCAAGGAGGAGCTGCACCTGGTGATGACGGCCCCCCCACCCCCGCCACCGCCAGTGTACGAGCCGGTGAATTACCACGTGCAGGAGGGGCTGCAGGACGAGGGTGCAGAGCCCATGGGCTACAGCGCTGAGCTCTCCAGTGAAGGCATCCTGGACGACCGCAACGAGGAGAAGCGGATCACTGAGGCCGAGAAGAATGAGCGTGTGCAGCGGCAGCTGCTGGTGAGTGGGCTCAGCGCCGTGTCCCCCCCACCCCCAAAATCTCTGCAAACAGCCCTTCCTCAGAACTCCACCCCTGTACTCTCTTCTGCCCCTTCTGTAGTCTCATGTCCCAGCCACTCCATGATGTCACGGTGGTAGCACCATGACTTCACAGGGGAGGCAGGCAGGTAATGGACACTTGCTTCGTGTTGCAGACCCTGAGCAACGAGCTGTCCCAGGCCCGGGATGAGAACAAGAGGACCCACAATGACATCATCCACAACGAGAACATGCGGCAAGGTCGGGACAAGTACAAGACGCTGCGGCAGATCAGGCAGGGCAACACCAAGCAGCGGATCGACGAGTTCGAGGCCATGTAAAGGCCCGGCCACGCCACGACCAAGGGTGGAGGGCGCCTTGTCAGCAGGGTGTGTCACACTTGGCTCTTTAGTACTCTTAAGTCTAGAAACCCCCTTGACAGGTTCCTGTCCCTTAAAGAGCAGTTACGGGGCAGCCCTGTTCTGCACCAGGCCCCCGTGGAGCCCCCCTGGTTACTTCCACTTATACCATAGTGCCAAACAGGCCAGATTTCCATGACAGTTACTGAGTCACTTCCTGTTTGCAGCAGGATTGATTGCAGTGGATTCGGATGCCTCTAAAGTCTAAGGAACTTCAAGCTGGCCCGTGTGACACAGGTTCATTATCATTAGGGACCACACTGTGGCTTACACATGGGTGCCATACTTTCTCTAGTTTTGAAATGAGCTCAAATCGATTATGTTCTTAATTTCTGTGAAGGATCCATCTGTGTTTTTTTGCGGGGGGTTGAAAATGATTTTGCAGTGTGAGTCTAAAGCACTCTCCCAGCACAGTTTCCTTCCTGCACACCACTGACCGAGTGTACGGCGGTCCTTCAGAGTGTACGGTACAGGACTCTCTGATACAAAACTGTTTTCATGCTTACTGTTAGCATACATTGTTGGACTTATATACCTAATGATTTGCTATAGAGAATAGTATTTATATAAGTGATAATATGGGTTTGTAACATTAGTTTTAAAAAGGGAAAGTTTTGTTCTGTATATTTTGTTACCTTTTACAGAATAAAAATATTAAGAACCATGTAATCGAGACACTTGATCTGACATGGGGCAGTTGGGAACTAACTACTGCAGTAATCGTATCTGTACAGAATGTTAGTGGGTTTTTTTTTGTGCATGTAAATGCACAGTTCAATTTTCTGTCAGTTTCTTATTTAAAGAAATACACACCGAGAGCATTCATACTCGGACCCTGAAGGGACTCTGCCCCGTTTGTTGTGAGCGCCTGTCCCTACCTGTTTTCAGTTCCTGTCTTCCTCAGTTGTGATGTCACAGCACCAGACGTATGCACAATAAAAGCTCTCCGAGGCCTTGTGTCTGCTTGCGTGGGGGATTTTCGGGACATGCCAGCGTACTAACCAGAAAGATGTCTTCCCAGGCTCCTCCTCCACTGGGAGACTTTCCACAGGAGACAAGGCAAACAACACTCACCACACTTTTTTTTTTTCCTCTGAAACACAAAAGCTTAGAACTTCTGTTGTTAATAAATGCTGGGAGCCGTGGGCCGCTGTTGAGCATTTATTGAAATTAGGACATTTCCACTCAAGTCCGGAACCTCCCCCTGGCTGTGTAGGGAGCAGTCTTGGTTCTGTTCTCTAGCCACACACCAGAACTGCAGTCAGCTACTGGTGGTCCGGTGGGTCTGATTCTGCGATGATCTCACATCCCGTCGACCTCTGCGGTTAGGCAGTCACCTCGGGCCTCAACCTCAGTGCAGGACGAGGGTCATGTCTGTCCATAAGTTGGGACTGGACAGGACTTTCTGCCACTGAAGCTTGGACTGTGAACACGAATCTGTACAACCCGCAGCACCTCCTTCTGCAATGAGACAGTGGGTGGTGGTGGGCGAGAACACCACTTTGCCCTCCCTAGCTTTTGAGCTAAGGAGAAGCCTGTTCTCTCCCTCAACTTGAGCCTAAGAGGCACCCCACCCCTGCACAGGTGGGATTAGAACAGGATGTTGGGTTGGGGATTTAGCTCAGTGGTAGAGCGCTTGCCTAGCAAGCCCAAGGCCCTGGTTCAATCCTCAGCTCAAAAAAAAAAAAAAAAACCCAGGATGTACTTGGGCATTCCTCAGAAGGATGCCCCCAAAGCCTAGGATTCCATGCCCAAAAGCAGTGGTTCTCAACCTGTGAGTTGTGACCCTTGGGGGGGGGGGTTATATGACCCTTTCACAAGGGTACCTAAGACCATCAGAAAACACAGATTCATAATAGTAGCAAAATTACAGTTCTGAAGTCGCAACGAAAATAATTTAATGGTTGGGGGTCACCACAACATGAGGGAATTGTATTAAAGGGTTGCAGCATTAGGAAGGTTGAGAACCATTGCTCTAAAGGGAGGGGAGGTGGACTCCAGACATCCACTTCTTCCCAGTGGGCATCATGGAACTTAATTCTGAGGCCGCAGGTGGTCTGGAGGCCCTGGTTTTTCGTGGAAAGGATGTCTCAGAGGAAGGGGTTGCTTTGAAACATGCATTCTAAGGAATGCAACTCCAAGTCCTGTTTAGTAATTCTTAGCTGGCAGTCTCTTGGAGAGATGTCTGGAGGTGGCTGGGGAGGGCTTAGGTGTCGGAGCCCTGCTGAGGACTAGATGGGAATACAGAACCTGCCCATTCCCAGTAGGAGGCTGTCCATACAATGCCAGCAGCCTCTGGGTAAGCTACAGTGAGTGAATGGTGCCCTTGTCTGTCCCCTGGGTGACGTCTTTCCAGATGTATGTTTGTCTGGGTTAAGATATTTTCCTTAAGAAAATAATCCTCTTATGATTGACACTGGAACAAAAGTAAACACTGTCCCTTGCCTGTTGTGAACCCTGAAGCTTTCGTTTCTTTAGCTGATCCAAATCTGATTTAAATTGCTGAAATACTTGGCTGTATTATCTCTCTGTTGTAGAGTTAAACCCGGACTTGGGAATTCCCATTATGACGGGACAGGGCAGTTTCAAAGCCAGCTGAATGGTTGACACTGTAGAAATCCATACTCATGTAGGGCAATCACTAAGGACGTGAGCCTGTGATTTTCACCGATAAACTCCGGGAGACAGATCCACAAACAGTGAACAGACTTACTTGAACCAAGCCTGGCTCCCCCAAGCAGGCGGTCATTCATACCAAAGATGGCCTGGTCCCAGACAGTCAGCTCCAAGCTGGACTGCCTCAGCTGGGAGCTGCTGACACCATTGAACACGAAGGAGTGTTTCCACTGGGGACAAGCCTGCTTCTTCAGTACTGGGGACTTCACACGCAGTTTTTGCTGGTCTGGCAGAGTGAGACAGCTGAAGAAGGAAATGGGAACCTTGAGGCCACAGCCCAGTGTGTAACCCCCTTCCCCATAGGTACCTGTGGGTTAGTCAGCCGCACCCATTCTCTGCCGAACTGGGTTAGATCTTGAGGCCTGTCCATGTGCCTTCTCCCTAGAATTCCTATTTCCTTTTCGAGCTAGATCCCACATCAGGTATTTGGGGTAAGTTGGAATTCTGTGGCATATGGCCCTCAATGTGATCGCCTCATGGCCATGCCGCCATTAAAACCAATGCCGAAGAGCCAGGGCTCTGTATGTACGTGGCTTCATTTTGTCCCGTTCTCAGAAAATACGTTTAGGAAGGCTAGCTTGCCCTAGGGCATACACAGTAGTAGCAAGGGGTTCTGTCCTGACAAGCCACCATTTTTTCCATGCTTCAGGAACTGGGGTTTACGCCTTTATAATTATTGGTGTTTTCTCTTGAGGACACTGGCATGCCTGTAGTGACTAAGAATGGCACAGAGTGACCATTCGATGCTTAACGCAGGAGGAGGTGCTGAGCTAGGGAACTGCTACCTGAACTTATTCAACTTCGAAACTGATTTCTGGTATATCAAGAACGGACAAGTCTGGGTTTCTGTTTAAAATTTACTATTCCCAGCCACGCTTCTTATAACCAAACCTTGTTTCTTGGACTTCTTGGTTCTTAAAAATAGGCTGTATTTGATTTTCTTTTTTAATCTAATCACTTTGTATGTGCACGCGTGTAAGAACAAGTGAGCATGCCACCCGTGTGTTGGACACAGACCAACTTGCAGAAGCCGGTTTTCCTTCCACTGTGTGGTTGGTTCCAGGGGACCGGAATCAGGTCATCCGACCTGGCAAGGGCCTTTATTCACTGAGCCATCTCACCAGCCCTATTTTAGATTAAATAAGATGAATTCAAATGGTCTACACTTTGTGGTGTTTCTTCCTACAGATTTTAGACCATGCTCAGTGTATACTCACCAACAACATCTAATACCTACCCCTTAACAAATGAGTTTAAGGTACCATCTGAGCGCACCGGTAAATTCTTGGCTCCCAGCACAACCAAACAAAGTTGACCATTAAGCGATAACTGACCTCCTGTCCCTGGAAGGAAAGTCGGAACGTGGATTAAACACGTTCTTCCTGATATGCTAGTATACAGTATCAACGGCCAGAAGGTGGTGGCCCCCAGAGAAGACCCACAGCCTCTTGGCCTTAAGAGAGCAGGAGGGAGAGGACCCACAGCCTCTTGGCCTTAAGAGAGCAGGAGGGAGAGGACCCACAGCCTCTTGGCCTTAAGAGAGCAGGAGGGAGAGGACCCACAGCCTCTTGGCCTTAAGAGAGCAGGAGGGAGAGGCACTGTTCCTCCACACCTTCACGGGCTTTGCCCACACACTGCCTCTGCAGCCATGCAGACGGACTGGAAGGAGCAGTCAAATGCAGGAAGGTGGCAGTTATCCAGAGGACTGGGGAAACCACAGGGACAAAAGCCGTGAATGCTGATCGTAACTCATGGTTTGAGAAGGGAGCCATATACACTCGCTGCTGGTCTAGGGAGGCCCTTCCTAGTGACCTCTGGCAGGTGCATGCTGCCGGCCCTGGGAGCTCGGAATCAGAATGTCCTCCTATTCCTGCCAAAGTCACTAAACTACCCTTTGTCATTGAGAGTCTCCCCCCGACCCCCGTGTCCTTGTCTGCCCTCACCGTCCATGTACCTTGTATTATCTAAGTTAAACAGCTTGAGGATCTGCCCTTGGACCCGCTCCACCCTGATCTCTCTCAGCCTCCAGCTCCCAGTGCCCTAGAAGCATCCTTGGTTCCTGTACTCTGGATGCATGCTGCCACAGTGTCCCTTTTTTTTCAACGGGGCCACCAGAGACTGTCCAGTGTAGACTTTAGGAAGGATGACGTGTGCACCAGAGGCCTCGCCTATTCCCGTCACCCATGTTCCCTCAAGTCACAAGCCCCAGGGACTGGAAAGTATAGGGTCAGTGGGCAGTGGAAAATCTTTTGCCTACCTCAAACTGCCTGCCCTATGGGCTTTGGGGACAGGGACACAAATGCTCCACAGGGCTGGAGGTCACTAACCTTCTTGGGCCTCCTGGAGCTTTCTTGGCCCTGCAGGAAGGACCAGCTTGGCCCGAACAGCAAGTTCTCCATTATTCTGAGGAATATTATCTTCATGTTTCTCAGCCTGAGGGTGAGAGGCAGAGCTCAGAAGCAGGATCTTTGCCCTACACCTCCAAATGACCTATACTGTGTGGTTGTCCCAACCGAGTCCATAAATGCCCTACCCCATCCCCACAGACCCGCTCAAGGCCTAGGGATGGAGTGGGGATGCCTGGTGAACTAGTCCTCTGTCTACACTGACTCATCCCGCCATCCTTAGCCCCTCAGCATGGGAGGAGCAATTCACTGCCTTAGAACATCAGAAGCCACTGGGCACAGCATGACCCCAGGGAAGCCTGGGCTTGAAAAAAAAACAAGATCGTCCCCAGCCACCAGCTCGCTCTAGGTCAGTAAGGATTGGAGCTACCCTTCCATGCCAATGCCTCCTTCGGGTACTGAAGGCAGAAAGGGTTACAGACTGTGCCTAAAGTCATACATGATAGCTCTGCAGGCCATGGGTGTCCAGCCCCTGGAGGGACACCATTCACAAGTGGCTTCTCTGGACAGGAGTGATGTTGTCAGAAAGTGAAGGAAAAACCCAGAGAGATGACCCTGAATCTGATAGACCTCCCATCCCAGGGTGTGGTAGAGTCTGCTGGGAGGGAATGTCATGGCTGCCGCCACCAGAACTGAGAAGCTGCCCTCGGGGTAGCCAGGACTCCTGGAAGCCTGCTTGGGCCAGCAACCATCTACACTGAAGCATTCAACAGGTCCTTCGGTGCCAACTGGGACAGGGACACTTAGGTCTAGAAAGCAAGTCCCAGCCCAGAGTATCCTGTTGCCAGAGCCCCACGGCAGGCCTGAGGACGTTCATTTCTCATTCAGTGACGGGGTGCTGGGCTACGCTTAGCTGGCATCAGGTGGGGTGACTTTAGCTTGGCACTCTGCTGCTACCCCATTCACCAAAGGAGGCTGGGTGGGACACTCATGGTTGCCAGCCAAAGATGTCCCAGCCATCTTCACGCTGCAAGTGTGTGTGTGTGTGTGTGTGTGTGTGTGTGTGTGTGTGTGTGTGTGTGTGTGTGTGTGTGTGTGTGGTGGGGGGCAGTGGTGGCTTATCCTCTGAAAAAGAAGTGAGTTCATGGTGACTGGGCACGGTTGGCCCCTGTGTAGTTTGAATGAAAAAATCTCACTCCACGGGTTCATGAATTTAAACGCTTGGTTCCCAGTGCGGGGTGCTGTTTGGGGAGACGGAGCCTTGCTTGAGGAAGTGTGTCACTGTGGGTGGGCTTTGAGAGTTCAGAACCTCACCCCACATCATCTGCCCTTTCTGCTTCCTGCTTGCCCATAAGGTGTGAGCGATCTCCAAGCATCCTGCCCCTGCTGCCGTACCTCCCTGCCATGACGGACTCTATCCATCGGGAACCATACACCAAAACTACACACACCCTCTGTAAGTGGCTTCTGGTCGTGGTGTTTTTATCACAGCCACAGGAAACTGACAAATATAGGCCCCCTGCTCCCCAAGACACACCTTGGCCCGAAGTGGATACCATCTTGCATTCTGTGTTGAACTGTCCTCAAAGTCCCATGTGGCCAGAGGAAGGATCACTTCTCCGAGGAACACCCTCCGGGCAAGGGTGCCCAGGTGCCACACAGAGACCTGCAGCCTCCGGGTCACCAGCTGGGGGAGGTCGACCTGATACTGAAGATCAAGGACAAGACTGTCAGCGGGTCCTCCTGGAACCAGCCCCAGGCCTGCACAGGCTGAGCCCCGAGCCTCGGCCGCAGCCCGAGTCCAGGTATAGTCAGGATGGGCCAGGCTAGACCTCGCTGCCTGCTTGCCAAGTGCCTTGAGCTCTCCCGCAGTCCAGTTCTCATCCACTTCCACCCCTATTCCCACCCAACACCCTCTCCTATCTTTCGGATGAAAGTCCTTACCTAGCTCTGGGTAAACCAAACCAAGGACTGTGTCAACACAGGCTGCGCCCTTACACAGGACCACACTGAACCGAGCCAGGGTTATCCCAAAATAGTAAAAACCAGACTTGTGGTTTTTTTTTTTTTTTTAAGTGCAGTGAGACCATAGCTGGGAATCAAAGATGTATTTGACACCCTTCAAGTCCTGGGACCCATCCCCAGTACCACAGTAAAACAAATAAATAAGCAAACAAACATAAATAAATGCAAAGTCCAAGACTCCACAGCCATATGTTTACCTTGGGTAGGAAAATGCATGTGAATGGAATGTGGGAACAGGGATCAGGAATGTAGGTGACACACGGCCCTTCTGAAGGCTGTGCCACCTACGTTCCTGATCCATCTCAGCCTCTGGGAGGCCAGATTTTAAGTCTGTACACCATACTTTTTCGATAATGAATACCAAGTGCAAGCTGCTGGGCCCTGTCTTGTAGTGGGCATCTTTGGCCTCCACAGGTACAAGTGAGGTCAATACTGTGAGTCACTTAGAAGGTGGGTGTGGCCCCCCTCAGTCTCCAAGCCATCAGCGCTGAGTGGCATTGCCACCCACGTACCCAGCCCTGAGCTCTCACTGCTGACCTTTGCACCGTGCTGCCTACGCCAGCGTGGTGACATGCTGTAACCAGACACGCGCAGCCACAGGGGACCTGCGCGTCTGCCTGGATTTTACATCCTCCTCGTTCTTGCCACTTTCTCTTGAGAGAGAAGATGGAAGGAAACAGGGAGTGAGACACTGTGACCTGTCTCCATTTACAGACTGAGAGGGGTGGTAGTGATAGGTGCTGTCCCCACCCTGCCCACCTCCTCTTCCCTCTGGGATCCATGTGCCGTGGGTCTAAGCACTCTTGAGCAGCGCATGTTCCCATTCCACAGCCCTTGGTTCTGGTTTTCTCTGCTTTCCAAATCCCTGTTTGAGACAGGGTCTCACAATGTAGCCCTGGCTGTCCTGGAACTCACTGTGTAGCCCAGGCTGACCTCGAACTCACAGAGATCTCCTGTCTCTGCCTCCCCAGTGCTGGGATTAAAGGTACAGGCACTGCACCCAGCACCCCGTTCCATGTCGCCCTCTGTCAAACAAACAGCTAACTCATCCTGTCCCATCTCTCATGAGCAGTTGGTTAAGGCGACTTGCTGACCTCTGAGAAATAAGGCTGTTCCAAGAACAGGGCCATGGTGCAGCGGGGTCACAGTGTCACCTGAAGGCCATTCCCAAATGGCTCACTCCATAGCCCCTTGTAGGGCTCCCTGGGACACTCAGGATTGAGGACATTTCCTAGGTCCTCACTGGCTGCCCACCCTATCTGATGAGCAGGACTAGTCTCCTCCAGTAACTCAATTTACTGGGTCAAACAAGAACTGTCTTCTGCTGTCTCCAAAGCCTGTACCATGGTCTGAGGCTGGTGTAGACTATGGGGTCTAACATACAAACAGCTTCAGAGACCACGAACAGACAAGGACCCAATCTGCCATCTCCATTCCTTTCAGACTCCCAGAGAGTCTCAAAGGGAATAGAAACCTTCTTAGAGCCCAGAGGGCCCCAAGAAACAGTCTATCCAGAAAACATTGGCAGTCAAATTTTAGAGCCTCAATTTTGCGTGTATGGTGTGTGTGTGTGTGTGTGTGTGTGTGTGTGTGTGTGTGTGTGTGTGCTGTATGTGATGGTTGTGTGTCTGTGGTGTATGCTGTATGTGGTGTGTGCATGGCATGTGTGCATGTAGGGCATGTGTGGGTAGGGTGTGTGGGTGTGTGTGTGTGTGTGTGTGTCTGGTGTGGTGTATGCTGTATGCAGTGTGTGTGTTATATGGTATATGTTGTATGTGGTGTGTGTGACGTTTGTGTGTAGGGCATGTGTGTGCAGGGCGTGTGTGTTCGTGGTGTGTGTGTGTATAGTGTGTGCTATAGTATGTTATTTGTGTAGGTGCATGTGCACATGAAGGCCAGAGATTGATATTAAGTGTCTTCCTCAATTGCTTTCCTTTTTTTGGAGACAGGATCCCTCAGCTGAGCCTAACGCTGTTTGGCTAGGCCGGCTGACCAAGGAGCCCCACGGACCTTCCTGTTTCTCTTCCCGAGCACTGAGGTTACACACGCATGTCACAACTGTCTTTTCACATGGGTACTGGCTCCTCATGCTTCTGTGGCAGGTACCTGACCAGCTGGGCCTTCTCTCTAGCCCATGCCTCAACTTTAACACACACACACTTTGGACAAGATGGTGTGTAGTCAGGATGGAATGGCGGTCACACTCCACCCTCATTACAACAACCCATGTTCATTTCTCAAAACCCACCAGAGGTGGTTCTCACAGCCATCTTCCCTTGGTTTTTACAAATCTCCTGGATACCAAACCCAGAGGGAAGGGAAGTGCTGGTTCCTACTACATTTTTTAAAAAATTGACCTGGGCCAGGCAGCGGTGGTGGCACATGCCTTTAATCCCAGCACTCGGGAGGGGGAGCCAGGTGGATCTCTGTGTGTTAGAGGCCATCCTGGTCTATAAAGCGAGATCCAGGACAGGCACCAAAACCATATGGAGAAACTCAAAAAAACAAAAGCACAAACAAACAAAATCAACCTGGAACTCACTCTGTAGACCAGGCTGGTCTTGAACTCACAAAGATCTACCTGCCTCTGTCTCCCCAGTGCTGGGATTAGAGGTATGCGCCACCATGCCTGTAGGAGTTTCCTCAAGAATAAGTTTGGCCTGTGTTAGAACACTACAAAATTAAGACATTATTCTTTCAAATAGATCTAAAAAATTTGCTAAGACCCTAAAACATGCCTAACAGACTATAATTGCGATTTCTTTGAGATCTTGCATATAATTTAAATAAGGCAAGTAAGACTTTTAAATTTAACTCTATAATTAAATACTTATCTAAAGTAGTTCACATCTCATTTCTTGGGCCTCCTCAGTCTTGCATAACATACCTTATTGGACTTATGATGAATATTTCAATATCAACCTAAAACGTGCTGGGTAGCACATAACTTTCAAATGTCTCCCAGCAAGCGAGTAGCCTGCAGACCTCGCTGCAATGGTCGCATGTGGGTGGCCGGCAGAGTTGAGTCTGGGAACAGAGCACATCAGGCCCTGCCTACATCTGCTGAGTCAGAATCTGCAATTTAAAAACCCGAACAGGGGATCCCTAACCACGGACTTTCCGGGACAGCCTCTCCATTGTGAGTTCTTGCTAAGCTTCTTCATCTCCCCAAGTCTAATTTCCCGTTGGCAGATGAAGGTTCTAATACCATCCTCGGTGCGTACATGAAGCATTTGGCCAGAGCAGAGGCCCAGGGAATAATGGCTATTATTATTATTATTTAATGAATTCAAGGCACTGTGCCAGCCCCCCACATGGCCCCTGACTGCTACTACTTGCCAAGAAAGGCAGACAAAGCCCTCGGCCCTTGCCAATGCCAGACAGCAGGGCTTCTGAGCTGCCAGTCATGGCTGGGGTTTCCACAGGTCTAGGCAGCCCATCTGGCTGGAGCAGCCACAGCCCATGCTGGAACTTCCTCTACCTCAAATGAGATGATGAGGGTCTGGCTCTGCTCTGAGGCATAATCTTGTTCCTTAGTAGCACAGAAAATGTAGATTCAAATAATTTCTTTATATTTGTTTTGTCTTTGTGTGTGTGTGATATGTGCATGATGGGTGTGTATATGATGCATGTATGAAGGGTATGTATAATGGATGTGCAGGATGGGTGTGTATGTGATGCATGTATGAAGGGTATGTATAATGGATGTGCAGGATGGGTGTGTATATGATGTGTGCATGATGGGTGTGTATATGATGTGTGCATGATGGGTGTGTATATGATGTGTGCATGATGGGTGCATATAATGGATGTGCAGGATGGGTGTAGATATAATGCGTGCATGAAGGGTATGTGTAATGGATATGCAGGAGGGTATGTAGGATGTCTATCTGCACATGAATGTGAGTACATGTGAGTACAGGCACTTGCGTGGACACCTTTGAAGGTCAGAGAACAACCGTCTACCTTATTTGAGATGGGGTCTCTTGTTTCTCCACTGTGTCCATCAGGTGTCCTGCCGGTTTCTAGGGACCCCATTGTCTCCACCCCCATCTTGCTGTAGGACAGTGCTAGAGTCTGGCTTTATGTGGGTTCTGAAGACTTTACCTACTGCCATCTCCCTGGTCCTGTAATTTGTTTTTTCTATAAAAAAATTTTTTTTATAAAAACTCTTTTTTATTAAAGAGTTATAAAAACTTTTTTATTAAAAAGAGTCATTTTTATAAAAAATGTCTCTTAATTAAAAAAGTCATTTAATAAAAAGAAAAGAAACCTACAGGTTTCATCTATTCCAATAAAGAGGCGCTTCTGCAAAAGAGTAGAACCCAGTAGCCTCATTCTCAGAATCCGCTCCTGGAGAACACCTCTCTGACGTTAAGGCAGATCGATCTTTAAGTCACTCTTCGCCCAAGTGTTAGCGTGAGACGTGCATTTTCCTAGGAATCATTAATCCAAAGCTGTGTCCAGAGTCTGGCAGAGTCAAAGGCTGACGTCTGCCTTCTATCAGCTCGGCACTGATTGACAGAGCCATGAAGAAACGTATCAGTGTCTACATTTATATTTAACTGACTCTGGAGTTTCAAAGAGGCACGCTGACCTCTGACCCTAGACCCAGCCTGGGATAGGAAAGACTTGGGAATGTCTGGCTGGGCAAGTACCTTCAAGGTTTCCTCGAAAGTCGGGTCCAGAGTGTTCTTCTGGACTTGCGTCTTGCGTTTTCCCTGGGAGGACTTGTCCGGCAGCAGGTAGGTCTTGACATACCTAGTGGGCAGAGGCAGAAGAACAAGGAGAGAACTCAACATGGGGTAAACAGAGCTCAGAGCAGTACAGTGCAGCATCAATGGTTTCTTGCCCTGCTTCCCTGCTGGAGCATGAGTTGACAGGCAAGATTTGCATTCTGACTTGAGTAGTGTGTGTGTGTGTGTGTGTGTGTGTGTGTGTGTACAAACATGTACATGTATGCACCTTCACATCAAGGCCAAAGGCTGATGTTTGATATCTTCTTTAATTGCCCTCAACCTTATTATTATTATTATTATTATTATTAACAACACACAGTCTTCTGTTGAACCTAGAGCTCCTCAGTTAGGCTAGGCTGTCTGGTCTGCAAGCCCCAGGGCTCCTCCCATCTCTGCTTCCGCATCACTGAGATGACTGATATGCAGTACCATGCACAGTTTTTTACGTAGATGTTGTTGGGATCCAAACTCACACTTGCAGAGCAAGCACTTTACCGACCGAGACATCCCCCTGTAGCCCACAACTTGAGCAATCAGTGCCGTGGGAGTAACTCCTGACTCGCACAGCTTTGGTCGAGTGTTGAGCATGTAACCCTGCTGAATGCTCCTAAGACTGCGGGTAACCTTGACCTCACTCCCCCCTACTTCTAGAACCTGTCCCCGTTCCTCATCTCCCATTTGATGATGACGGGAACAAGATGTTCCAAGTACGCGCCAAGCCCCCTCTTTCCACTTCCACCCATTGCTACCCTGAGCCCTCAGAACTAAGGAAGAAAATAGAAACTGACTCACACTTAGCTTTTGGCTCAGAGACCTCAAAGACGATACTCTTTCCAACAAAAGATCCTGCCTTTGAACCCATGTAAGGAGAACTGCTCATCTACATCCTTCTATAACTCACTTTTCCCCTCATTAGCACACATTTGAGATTCATCCCCCTGCATATGGCACTCTGATTCCTCCCTTTTCCTCTATGTCACTGAACTGGATTAATTATCACAAGTCATTAGCCTCGAAAGATTCCTTATGTCTCAGTTGCTGCTGTTAAAGTCTACAGTCCTGATATACACTTGCAGTGGTCACAAACCAGAAATGACAGCATATATGCTAACTGCATCCCCAGCCTGTATGCATGCTGTCAACTTTAATAGAGCAGGCCAATCCAATCTCTTTAAAATAAAAGGGACTGTTTGGAAGCCTGGCTTGGTGGCTCACGCCTTTAACCCCAGCACTTGGGAGGCAGAGGCAGGCATTTCTCTGTGAATTCAAGACCAGCCTGGTCTACAGAGCAAGTTCCAGGACAGCCAACAACAATTAAAAGAAGTATTTTAGTCTTTCTCTAGTACTTTATGGTTAAGTTTTAAATAATTAATTTTCAGTCTTTCTTCTTTGTATACATAAACATTGCTTTAACTAAATTTTGAAGTGTAAGAGTCAGGGGGTGTTTTGGGAACCAGGACTATTCCAGATCCCTGGGACTATGGTGTCCTCAGAGGAACAGAAGCTGAGACCAGACACTAAGAGGATCTTTATGGAAAATTGTAATTGCTATAGAAACTTGTATAGCAATTTTGATGAGGTAGGCAGAACTGAGGAGCTATTGACGGCTTTAGAGTGGAGAAGAGTTTGATTAGCTCGTCAATCCATTGCTTTCCCTACTATCACTTGTGAGAGTTAGTAATTGAAACAGTTTGGAGGGGGAAAGGCCTTGCCTTAAGCCATACCAGAAAACCAATTCTTCTGCTTCTAATATGAGGTGAACTAAGGTGAATATATATGATGTTCATATATATCACACACACATATATATGAAGAAAATAGAAATATGTCCATGTGGACATAATTTCCAAGTGGCATGGGAATTCTATACACACAAAAAAGCAGATTTTTAAGAACCTGTTGTTGCTAGAGAGATTGCTTGTTTGTTTGTTTATTTGAAATAGGATCGTGTACATAGTCCAGCCTGTCCCAGAAGTCGCTCTTGTAACCTACGCTGGCCTGGACTCAGACGGCCTCCTGTCTCAGTCTCCCACATATATATTTTGCTTTTTTGTTTTGTTTGTTTTAGTTTTCTTTCTATCTTTTCCTTGTAGTGCTGGCAATTACAATCACAGCAGGGGCTTGCACATTCAAAGCCCATGCTCTGCCTGAGTCCTGCCCTCAGAAGCAGGGCCTTAAAAGGAAAGGCTTGGAGCGGTCTGTGGTGCCGCACGCCTTTAATCCCAGCACTTGGGAGGCAGAGCCAGGCGGATCTCTGTGAGTTTGAGGCCAGCCTGGGCTACAGAGCGAGATCCAGGACAGGCACCAAAACTACACAGAGAAATCCTGTCTCGGAAAAAAAAAAAAAAAAAAGGAAAGGCTTGGAAAATTTATCACACCAAATTTTCCCCAAGAAAAGGCATCACAAATAACCCCGAAAAGAAGCAATAGCTAGAATAAGTGATGTAAAAAAAAAAAAAATACATAACAGATGCAGAACTTTCAAACCCTATTTTAAACAGGGGATCCAGTCTATTTGAAATATGGCTTTAAGCCATTTCCCTATGGCTGAGGTCTAGCTCAGCAGTGGAGTTTGTGTCTGGCATGCACAAGGGCTGAGGCCTAATCCTTTGCACCCAGAAACAAATTCCCCAGGGCTGGAGATGGACTGAAGGTATAAGCTCAATGAGAGAGGGTATCCTTTGCATGGGGCCCTGCATCAATCTCTAGCTTCATACACACAGGCTCCTGCATGCATGTGTACACACACACACACACACACACACACACACACACACACACACAGAGTAATAATAATAATAATAATAATAATAATAATAATAAAAACATGGGCCAAAGACATGAACAGAAAGTTCACCACAGGGGAAACCCAGGTGTCTAATGCCTCTATGGGAACCTTTGCTCATTTCAGTTAGTTGTCACCTCTAAAGATTCATTTATTTATTATGTATACAGCATGTATGACTGCAGGCCAGAAGAGGGCACCAGATTTCATTGCAGATGGTTGTGAGCCCCCATGTGGTTGCTGGGATTTGAACTCAGAACCTCTGGAAGAGCAGTCAGTGCTCTTAACCTCTGAGCCATCTGGTTGTCACCTCTAAATAATAGTGATATTTCTTTTTATATCAGTGGGAAAAAGTTTAAAAGTTACTTTATGAGAGGTTGGAGAGACAGCTCAGAGGTTAAGAACCCTTGCAGCAGGGTTCAGTTCCCAGCACCCACATAGTGAGTGTAACTCCAGTTCTATGGGATCCAACACTCCTTTCTGGTGTGAATGAATGAATGGGCCCGCCTCATAGGCTCATATGTTTGAATACTCGGTCCCCAGTGGTGGCACTGTTTGGGAAGGACTAGGAGGTGTGGCTGTGTTGGAGGAGCTGTGTCACTGGGGGCAGGCTTTGAGTTTTCCAAAGACTTGTGCCAATCCCAATCTCAGTCAGTCAGACTCTCCCTCCCTTTCTGCCTTGTGGATGGGGGTCAATATGTGAGCTCTCAGCTGTTCCCTTACTTCTCCATCATTGACTCTAACTCTCTGAAACTCTAAGATTCCTTGGTCACAGTGTTTTATCACAGCGATAGAAAAGTAATTAAGACACATGGGCGCTGCACACCCGGGGTGCACATACATACATGCACACAAAGCATCCATACACATAAAATAAAATAGATCTTCAAAAAAAGTTATTTATGAATTGTGTGAAGGAAGATGTTAATTTTGTGTTTCCTGTATGAAACCAAACTTCCAACACCCTTTACTGAAGGTCACCTTTCCCCACTGATTGGCTATAGCTCCTTGACATGCACTGAATGTTGTTGCCCCTAAATTTCAACTCCTGTGTTGGAACTTAACTCCCACGTGAGGATATTTGGAGGTGGGACCTTTGGGAGGTGGTTAGGAGTGAGGGTGGCCCTCATGGATGGGATTTGTGCTCTTATACAGGAGTCCTCAGAGAGCTGCCCTTCCCTGCTTCTCCCCTGGGATGACAGGCACAGACGTCTGTCTGTGGACCAGGGAGCTGGCCCTCACCAGACACCATCTCTGTCAGCACCCGGGCTTCCCAGCATCCGCAACTGCGAGGATAAATTTCTGTTGCCTCTTACCCATCCAGTCTCTAGCCGTCTGTTGACAGCAACTCAAATGGTCTAAATGCTCCTTGGGCATCCAAATTCCCATATATGTGAAGGTCTATAAAGGTAGACTTTGATTTTCTATTGACCTGTCTTTACCCTTGCATCAGCAACACTTCCAAGGACCACAGCTACCTGATGCCGAACTTCAAGTAAAACAAAACAAACCCCAACAACTTACGGGTTGCACTTCCTCTTCTTCTCCTCTCCGTAGGCCAGGTTCTTACAGGTCTTGATGTGTATTTCTAAAGAACGGCTTTGATAGCAGTAATGAATGGCAAATTCTATTTCTCCAGTGACGTTAGCATTGTCAAAATTACCCATCTCCGTGCAGGTGCTGTTAATGCTAATTAAGCTTCCCTGGAATCAATGGCAGACATAATAAATTAACTCACAGTCAATAAATACTTTCCAGTTCTGCTCTCGTGATCAATCACAGTTCACACAGAGCATGCATCCTGACTCATGTTAAGCTGATACACGCACCCCAGCATGCACTTTGCTAACCCAAGTTGCCACCTGGGGGACTCCTCAGGCGGTGAGGCATCCTCAGCAGACCGTCCCTCCTTATGTCTCTGCCTGGCAATAAAGTCTTCACCATGAGTCACTGGGGCGAAGTGGACTCGCTCATGTGCCATTCTGTAAACTTACGTCTTGGACCAGATGGTATCCGTGGCTGGATGGTGTGTGTGAAGCAGCAGACAGTGAGACTAAGTGGTGGGGGCTAGAATCAGGGACAACTGACTCCAGGGCTAACGCTGCTACTCACTGGCTATGTCCAAGTCTAACAGAGATCAATAATACCGACCTCAGAGTTACACCATGCGAAGATAACAATACATTACATTTGCACCTAAAATAAAAATGAAATTGCCTTCAAATATTAGAGCAGTCCAAGCATAAATGCTACATGAAGGTGTGCATCCCAGGATGCCTGTGCCTGAAAGATTAAGTCATTGTATCACTGTTAAATTTGCTTAAATAACCGCCACCATTTGTGAGTAGTCCATGTCAGTACTGACTTTGTAGAAACAGTGAAGCCTAAATAACTTCTGTTTCTGATACCCAACGGGCTCCCCCGTACCGTAAAACCAAGAAAGTCTACAGCAGAAAGCGGTAACTGGCAGAGAGAGATAAAAACCAAACCGACTCAAAGGCCCTGGGACCCGCCTTAACTAATGCCAACAGCCAGCGCCGCCACCCCCGGGCTCAGAAAAATGTCGTCTGGCAAACCACGTGACAGTTGGATTGGGAAACAACTTTAAACCAGTATACGTTCAAAGACAGCCTTGACGGTGAGGCGGCGAGGATGAGCGAGGGTGAAAAAGGAAGACTGGGGAAAAGATGTGGGGAGGGGTTGGCAAAAGAAGTGAGCTGCCTAGGAGAGGGAGGAGGCAGCGGAATGCAAGGAAAGGAAGAGCCCAAGAATTCTAGTCATTACAATGCAATTTGTGCCGGGACTGTCGCCCAGCGATAAAGCCCTTGCCCACAATGCAGAAGGCCCTAGGTTCGATGCCCAGGACTGGGAAAAAACTCAAAGAGCCCTTTGCCTGGAACTCAGCCCAGGAGAAGTACTTTGCCCTCCACACGAAATTCTTTGGAGGTGGCTGATAACCTTCCCACCAGCTCCTTGTCTGGGACTCAGTTCTGTTTTCTCTGGAGCCGGAACAGAACTTCAGAGCAAGCTGTAAACTTGAGCAGTAACCGGAGTCAATCAAAAAGTCCTGGCCTAGAAGAGCAAGCTAGATCTGATTCCTGCCAGAGCCAATGGGGCTGACGGCCTTCGAAAGAAAAGCAACTCAGATCAAAACAAAGACCATCCACCCACAGGTGGTCAGGGACCCCGTGAAGGTCACGAGGTTACCTACTATCACCTCAAGCTGAATCCTGGGCCTGTTTATATCACAAAGGCAGAAAAACTAGGAAAACTACAGCTATGGTTTTTCTTTTTAAGTAATACATTCTGTTAACCAAGAACACACGGAAAAGTACTACAGAGTGGGTTCGCCAGCGATAGGCGGACTTTCGTCCCCGGCTGAGCCCTGCTGGCTGTGTCGTCTCCAGCATTTTCCCTCAGTTTCCTCATTTGTAAAACAGACTGTGTTGCCTCAGTCAGTTATAAAAACATAAGGGCTTAGAACCCCGGCCTGTGGGCAGTGCCCAAAGTGTACATGTCTGTTGAAAACTCTGCACCTTCTGGACCCCTTTGCAAGCTGGGCGAACCCTGTCCTTTGTTCTGGTCTCCTTCCTGGCTGTGAAACGCATACAGTATTTAAACAGCGCGTGTAATGCACAAGAGTAGTTCAAAAATAACTGCAAGGTTAACATCTATCCCCACCCGCATGTTAAGAAAAAGAACACTAGGTCTGGGGCAATAGCTCAGCAAGTTAAAGTGTCTGCCACGCAAGCACGAGGACCTGGGTTTGTAACCCTACCACCCACCTAAAGCTGGACTCGGTAACTCATCTATGACCTCAGTGATCCTACAGGCAGAGACAGGAGAATCCCTGGATGTTCTCAGGCCAGCTAGCCAAGCGTAAGCAGTGGAAACAAGAGACCCTGTCTCAAACAAGGTGGCTTGATGATGCTGACACATATATGATGTGACATGTGCATGCCTCTGTTCTCTCTCTCTCTCTCTCACACACACACACACACACACACACACACACACACACACACACACACACACACAAATGAAAAACATCACCAGGATCTCAGAAATGCCCTGTCTGCCCCTCCTTTAGTTAGTCCCTGCCCTTCCTGTCTAGGTACAGCCTGCTTCAAAACTACCTGTTAATCAACTTTATTTTCCTTCATGGTTTCATTAGTACTATCAACTCCCCTCCCAAATACTACGCCTTAACCGGGTGCGCACACAGTTAAAGCATTCTGTGTGCCTATGAACCACGGCGCGTTTTCTGTTTGGTTGCTGTGCCTATGAACCACAGAGCATTTTCTGTTTGGTTGCTGCCAAATTTCCAGCATTAAAACCATTACAAGCAACGCTGCCCGGGACATCCATATATGCACATGGGGGACAACATCCTGTCTGTTCGATTGTTCAAGAGTACCTGCGGGGCCAGGAGTGTAGCTCAGTGGTGAGGGACGTGTTCAGCATGCACGAGGCCTGTGGCAGAAGCAGACACCCCAAGGCTTTTGACTATGTGCCTATACCTCCAGTTGCCCTCCAGGGAAGCTGTAACAATTTCCACTTGCCATGTGGTTTTCAGATGCCTGCTGTTCTGGGCAAGGGCATTTTTTAGACGTTATTAACATCATCCCAAAATAGTAGTTTGCTTAAATTTTGCCCTGATTCCACTACTTGGGAGGTTGGATAATTGTCTCTATTTATTCCCCATCTCTGTGTGTAAGTGGAGATTTCATAAGCGTTTTCTAGCCAACTCCTTGTTTCTCAGAGTTGAGAATTTCTCCAGGAAGGGTAGGCAACATCTTTCCCACCATATTTATACCAGGCTAACTGGCCTTGAGCTTTGGGGTGTTGGGATTATAGACACATTGAAAGAGTATAGGGCACTGGTGGCTGGTGCTGGTTTGGTCGGCGTTGGAAAGGTCACAGTCACAACAGAACCCAGTGGTACCTTTTAGAGCTTTATTAGGAGAAGGAGAGAGAGAGAGAGAGAGAGAGAGAGAGAGAGAGAGAGAGAGAGAGAGAGAGAGAGAGAGAGATGCAGAAAGAGGCGCAGAGAGAGGCAGAGAGCATGGGGGGGGGTGCATGTCCGGCTTTTAGGCTGGGATGCAGTCGCCCGTTGATGACGTAATAAGGCGCCAGACAGACAAGACACACACCACCACCCCACCACCACCCCCGCCGAGCTGCGCATATACAGAATCCTTACACACATGCTACAGCATCTGACTTTTATAGGGCTGCAGGGATTTGAACTAGAGACGTCGGGATTATAGATTTACCCACTGAGCCATTTCCCTCTGCCCAACCTTAATCCTTGAAGGGTTTCCAAGCAGGGATCAGCTATAGGGAGAAGAAACAAGTAAATAAAACGAGTTCATACAAGTGCTCAACAAGCTGTGGGTCACATCTGATGGTCTATGGTTCCCTGGGTTAGGTGACCCCACGTTCTGCAGGCCCTGTAGGACTCAAGTAAACCACCCGACCCCAACACAATCAGGTTGGTCGATTGTGAAATGGACTAACAGTTGATAAAAGGCAGATAAGAGAAGTGGGTCTCAGATAGAAGATGCTAAGCATATGATAAGCCTGGAGCAGGTGAGTGAAATGGGAACAGACAGGGGCCTCTCTGAGAAGGAGCTTCCGAACAAAATTTCAAAAAAAGTAGGGAGTGGTTTGGGAATGTCTGTGTCCTGGGGCTTGAGAGCCAGTGAAAGACCCTGTGGTTGAGATGAGGGAACAATGTGTTAGGGGAGCAGATGAGGTCAAAGCAGGATGGGGGCAGGGTGTACAGGACCCATGGACTATCTCAAGTGTTCTTAGAGATGTGTTGGCTCTGGAACCGTAAGAACGTGATTCTGGCCCATGGAGGAGCGTGGAGCCAACTCTAGTGGGATGCCAGGAACTGGGCAGACTCAGTCCCTCAGGTTCTCTAGGAAGTGAGTTCGGTTTTGTTCTACTGGATCAGTGTGCTTTTGAGTCAACCTCAGGCTCTTGCTGGCTCCTTTCCAGAGCCTCCCTGCCCTCAGGCCACTCTCACTGCCTTGAACCCACCACAGGAATTCACACCAGAAAAGAAGGTTCTAGAGCCAGCCTTGCCCATCTTCAGGGAGATGACGTGCATTGTTTTACGGGCCGAGGAACGTCCTCCGATCTTGGCCCCGCATTTCCCAGCTGCCACTCTCAGGCTTGAGTGGGCAGGGCCCGGAGACCTATCCTCCCTGCATGCTGGCAGTATAACCAACTTGCCAGCTCATTTCATTGCCTGACCTCCAGATAAACAGCAGATGCCATGGCTTCTATACTCCAGATTTGGCATGCCATCTCCCCCACAAGCTCCTGGAACACCACTGCTGCAACCTGCCTCCTCAGCTCCCTCAAGGAACGTTGCTGAGATCTTCCACCATGCGTGACTCCCGGTTCCCCCTCCCCACTTCGCCCCTTGTCAGCTTGAAGCAGCCTCGGGAATTTAGCGCCCTTGTTCCCCTACTTGCTTCCATAACTCACCTTTTTATAATAATCAAAACGGAGGAATGTTAATATTCTGACCCGCCCCTTGAAATCTGGTGCCGCCCTGCGTCCTGACGTAAAAGCCTCATTTTTAAGGAAAAATCCCTCCCTTCCTCTCTCTCTTCCACCCACTTTCTTCCCTGCCATGGGGTGTGCACATCTCTGCTTCTCCTCTCTTCTCTTCTCTCATGGATGCAGCGCCTGGGTTGTGAGCAGCTTTCCATCCTGTTATGTCAACCACTGCCATGCCCGCATGGCATGTCTGGCCCGCTGCCCACCACTGCATCTGCCCAGCATACCAGCATGTTTTCCCTCACACATGGGATATCCTGGCCCAACCAGCTGGGGGTCCCCCGTACAATATATCACACCACTCTTGCCTTTCATCTTTCTATTCTCCAACATCAACAGCCCTGGGTGTTAAGCTATCCTCAAATGTAAGCTCTGAAACCTATGATACGAGATGAGTAGGTCACGAGAGTGGGGCCTTCATGAGTGGGGTTAGCATCCTTAGAAAACAGGCCAAAGGGAGCTCCCTCACCGCTTCCACCAGGTGAGCACACAGCTTGACCATGCCCACCACCAAGCAGGAAATAGGCCCTGAACAGATTGAGTCTACCATGGTCTTGATCTTGGAATCCCATCTTCTAGAATCATAAGTAAACTACTATCGTTTTCAAATTACCAAGTCAGTGGTGTTTTGTGATGCCAACATAGAACCAATCAAAACTACTGTTAATCGAGGCCTCAGGTCTCCGCATCAAAACTCTAGGCATGGGTAGCGTTAGGTTTTGTTTAGTAGCTGAGTGAATAGGTGACTACAGATGCAGTCTAGAAATAGAACAGATTTAAATACTAGGAAGCCATTTGAAAAAGAAGAATAAAATTGAAACACCTACACTTCAAAACTTAAAGGAAAGCTACAAACAAGACAAGGTGGTCCTTACATCAGTATAGGCCTAGTGACCAGGGGAACAGAGTCCAAAATAGGGACCATGCTCATAAGACTTGATGGGACAAAATGATCTAGTCACTAGAGGAAAAACAGTCCTTTTAAAAACAAGGAATGCTGTATTGACTAAATAACCACATAAAATTAGCCTCAACCTGAGCATCATACCAAACAAGTCAGAGTACAGATGAAAACAGAAAAGGAAGATCTAATTAAAGCTTCTAGAATACAGGACACTATCGCCACAGCCCATGAAGATACAAACCACAGGAACACCCACAGAAGAAAATCTTGATAAACGAGACCATCAAACTTTAAAACGTTTTCTCTGGACATGGTGGCACATACCTTTAATGCCAGCACTTGGGAGGCAGAGCCAGGCAGATCTCTCTGAGTTCCAGGCCAGTGTGGTCTACAGAGTGAGTTTCAAGCCAGTCAGGGCTACATACAGAGAGAGACCAGGTCTCAAACAAAACAAAACAAACTTTAAAACTTTTCCTTAAAGCTGGAGGTGGTAGCAACATGTCTTTAATCCCAGCTCTCGGGAGGCAGAGACAGGCAGATCTCTAAGTTCGAGGTCTTCAGAGCGAGATCCAGGACAGACAGGACTACACAGAGAAACCCTGTCTTGAAAAAAAATCAAAAACCAAAAAAGAAACAAAAAACAACCCAAACTTTTCCTTGACACACACCATTATTCTGTTACTGTCTTACTCTGCTTTCTGAGGCTATGATAAAAACCATGACCTAAAGCAACTTTGGGAGGAAAGGGTCTATTCAGCTTACAGGTCACAGTCCATCATGAAAGAAGGCCAGGGCAGGAGCTCGAGGCAGGGACCAGGAGATGGGAACTGAAGCAGAGACCATGGAGGGATACTGCTTACTGGCTTGTGGCTTGCTCTGCCGACTTTCTTATGTAACCCAGGACCACCACCTAAGGGTGACACCACCCATAAAGGGCTGGGCCCTCCTCCAGTCAGTTATCAAGAAAATGCCCAACAGACTTGCCCATGAGCCAATCTGATGGAGGCAGTTCCTCAGCTGGGGTTCCCTCTTTCCAGATGACTTCAGTTTGTGTCAAGTTGACAAAAAAACAGCACAATTAATTACCAGTTACTTTCTGAAGGTAGAAAATGTTCTCCACAATACAACATTTTTAAAAAGGTGAACAGAAAAGCTGGCTTCACCGTATTTTGAGGCTTTCCCTAGCTCCAAATCTACGTGAAAATCACCTCCACGCTCCACTCTCACACTCCCGTGTTGACCACAAGACGAGAGTCTAGTCCTTCCCTTGTGTCTTAGCTACTTTCCTATCGCTATCACCATGGCCAAGGCAACTTACGGAAGAAAGTTTATTGGGGGCTTACGGTTTCAGAGGGTGAGTCCTTGACCATCATTCGTGGGGAGTATGGCAGCAGACAGGCAGGCATAGTGCTGGAGCAGCAGCTGAGAGTTTACATCTGATCCACAAGCATGAAGCAGAGGAAGAGCTAACTGGGAATGGGATGAGCTTCTGAAATGCCACTAGTGATCTACCTTCTCCAACAAAGTCACTCCTCCCAGTCCTTCCCAAACAGTTCCACCAACTGAGGACCAAGCATTCTGAGCCTATGGGGGCCATTCTTATCTAATACACCAGGCCTTACCTACCAGGCCAGCTGGATAATGTCTGGTTGGCTTTCTTCCCTGGTGCTGGGGATTCAACAGAGTTGTACTGTGTACATACCATGCCTGTGTGCTACTACTGAACTATATTTCTAGTCGTTGATGTCTTGAAAATTACATATCTTAAAGAATGCTGGGACAAGACTCACATGTCTCAGGCCTCCAGAGAAGACAGTGCTACGTGTTGGACTGGATGGGAGAGTGTCTTGCTTCAAAACAGGGCTGGGAGAGTCTTTGGGATCTTCTTGATGGAACGCTTTCAGAATATCGGGCGAGCTGACCTTCTGGAGAGGGTAAAAACAAACATCATAGCCCACATCCCCATGTGACTGAAGAGGCCAGCAAGCCCAGCCTTCATCTGCGAAGTGATGTTTCTCACACACAAACTTCTGCCGGCTGAGTAGGAAGACACACTTGTGTTTGGATCAAGGCACACACCCCACACACCGGCAGAGTCATTAGGGACAGTCACAAGCATTGACAGGTGGGCTGCTTTGTGTTACAGGAAGTGCTGAAACATTTAAGTTCTAGCTTTAATGATGATCGTGGCATGCAGTCATGTGAAATAAAGTTTCATATTGACAAACAATTTTACTTCTGGTATGCCCATATAAAGGGAAAAATGCATCTTTAAATTGTATTTATTCTCTTTTTCTTTGGCTAATAATTAGTATTTCTCCTATAACGTCACAGCTGTACTTCTCAATAGCCACTAACAACATGGGGATGGATTTAATCCAAATTAGTTGTAGTAAAATACAATTGATAAACTAGGTTCCCAGCTGTGCCATGCTGAGAGTGTGGCCACAAGAGGACATCCAAGCAGCGGAGTCTACCCAGGCAGGGCCATCTATCCACAGCCTCTCCTGCACTTCCTTGCTTGGATCCCTCCACCCTCACAGCTCAGACAACCTCTGGACTGTGATTCCCTGGGAGGCTCTGTCCCATGGACTCATGCTGCAGGGGAGGGATATGCCAAGGACATGCCACGTGACACCAACATTCAGAATGCCAGGAGTGAGGCCAGAGGGAACCTGAGATACCCTGCATGGGGCACATTTCGCCCCAAGTGAAAAGACAGCACCTCTCATGGCAGGAGTGGGGGAGGGGCTGGAACACTCCAAGTAGGCTTGGCCGCCTCCTTCTGAACACACTGGTCTCTGCCAGCTCTCTACCCCAGTGTCCTCGTCTTTCATGGGGACGAATCCAACAGAGCTGCTTTAAAGATAAATACCAACATGGCCCCTCTGCAGAGAATGATGCCGGGCATGCAGACAGCCCTCAGTGGGGGACACCACCAGACTGATCTGGTAAGTGCTGAGCTGCTGGGGTTCCCTTCCTTGAGCCCTCCTCCTTCCGGCCTTCCCTTGTCCTCACAGGGGAAACTGAAGCAACCTGGAAATTAGCAACATCTAAACCCAGGTTCTGCTCCCGGCACCGTCGTTCCTGAGCTGTGAGCTGCTGGACGTGTTGGTTGGCTTCTGAGTAAAGCTCAGGTTTTTGACCATGGTTGTGGGAGTAAGTCTATTCTGTGATACAGCAGGCAACCAAGGCACCACCTGCCCAGAACAAAGTCCTTCAGAAGTGGACCTTATGCCAGCCCCCATCTGCCCCCTTGAAGAAAAGAGGTTGACTCCAGGGAGCCACTGTGAGCAGATACATTCGCACTTGGGAATTCCAAAGCCCTCCTGAGTATATCTCAAATGTTTGAGACACAAGTCATTGGAAAACTGTCAGCATCAGCAACTGCTTATTACCAGAGGCTCAATAGAAAGGCATCAGAGACCCCAAATATCATGCCCAGTGAGGACTCAGTGATGTAGGAGTCTACACCTCATACCCAGTCCTCACTCAGTGATGTAGAAGTCTCACCTCATCAAGAGCCCAGTGGCTCTCCTCCAGCCACAACTCACAACTCCAGAGTTCAGCCTCCAGACCAAGATGGGACCAGTTCAAACATAGGATTCCCATCTCCAGGTATGTACCTGTGGGCATAGGTCCTAACCTCTCTAAGCCATCATATATCCCTCAGTGTAAAACAGGGCTACTTTTAATACCCATCTTGTTGGGTTGGTAGTCTGTGCAAAGCTCTCTGTACAGAGTCTAACACATCATAACAAATGCTGAAGTTTAGAGATCTATCTAGGTGACCCAGACGGCAAGTTAGAGGCTTCCTTGTCTCTCTGGCTGCATACAGGAGCTCCACGCTGGGCAAATGGAGATTCCTACTATTTTTTATTTTACCAAGGGGCATCCTGGACGCAGGATGATCAGCAGATGGAGGCCGATCTTGAAATTTCTAGAGCAATGGTTCTCAACCTTCCGAATGCTGTGACCCTTTAACACAGTTCCTCCCGTTGTGGTGACCCCCACCACCCTAAAATTATTTTCATTGTTACTTCATAACTGTAGTTTTGCTACTGTTGTGAATCACAATGTAAACTTTTTTTTTTGGAGACAGAGGTGTGCCTGAATACGGATTATATATAATTAGGTTTTCCTGGCTGATTAAGGTTTTCTATCAAATGACAAATAAGTGCAGAGGAAAACAGGTCAGAAAACTCAGAAAAGATGACATGCGGGTGGCGGGTGGCGGGTGGGGAGGCCCAGCAGGCCTCAGTGCCTACCCTGGAGGTGACATTGACGGCTGTGTCTGACTGGCTCCGCCTCTCCGTGTGGACCACACACTGCCTGGGATCCATAGCCAGAAGATGCTTCTCAGAAGTCATGTCATTCTGGGACTTGGAGAGCTCTGGAAGACAAAGACAAGGGGTGACCCTTGGGAAGCACGGAACGTTGCCAAGACTTACAGATCCTAGGGGTCAGAAAGACGAAAAAGGTGACCAGGCAGGGGTGAAGGGTCCACGGTAGAACAAAGGTGTGGCTGTATGCCAGAGGCAGGGAAGAGGAAAGGCTAGACCCTCCAGAGGTCCACACTGGCCCCATGCCTCTGTGGGCAGTCACTGTCAGGGTGGGACTCAAAGGGAACTTCCCACCCAGCTTCCCTGCCCCCCAGGCCATCCATACAATCAACCACCTGCCCTGAGCTATTGACCAGCATCCTCCTGTGACTGCTGGAAGGGAGTAAGGGTTGAGACGGCTCCATGGCTGCTTTAATAACTATGCCTTGGAAAGACCACTTATTTGGATTTCTCGGCACAATAGGGTCCAAGCTTTCGGCTTCTGTGGGCTGTGCTGGATGAGGAACTGGCTTGAGACACACATTAAAATAACAGTGAACAAAGTGTGAGGGAGGGAACCCCATGTAAGTGAAAGCTCTGTATTTCATCCAGACTCCTCCTCAATCCAGCCCCCCACCCCCAGAGGTCCCCCTCAGCTCTCTTCACTGCTGCACCGCACTCTCTAGAAATGTGAATTACCTGTGTTATTCTAAAATATCTCCTTAACCACGTTAACAGGTGACATTAACTTTAACTCTGCATTTCATTTAACACGACGTTCAGATTGTTAAGACAGATTGTGAATATTAAAGTTACTTGTGAGATCACCGACTGTATGATTCTCTGGCATCTAGGGTGTAGCTCACTCCAGCTGTGCTCTTGCAGAAGTCCCTTGGGAACTCATGTGCTCCACATCATCCCTCTGTCCGCTGGTCCATGCATGGAGATATCCCATGCTTCTATTGCCTGCCGGCTGCCTAGTATCTGCACTGTGCAGGGAGAGCCTGGGAGGTCTCCTTTCCTCGACATCGAGGTCCCTGACCTGCTTCCCAAGCCCAGGGCACCCAGTTTTTCAGTCTCGCTTCCTAGTTGCTCTTTTCTGAGGGCCACACCACCCCAGCATTCTCAGGTCTACCATCCAGAAGTATCTGGGGGGGGGGGGGGGCGGGCATCAGTTGATGTCAGCAACTGGAGATGACTAGCACATGGCGGAGATCCTCAATGACGGCCATCCCGCAGCAGCCTGGATGTGAAGGCTCCCCTGTCTGGCCATTAGTCGAAGCTGTCTGCCATCTGTCTGTTCACACTACCTTGGGACTGCGCCTATGTGGTCCATTTCAAGGTTATGGCTCCAGGACAAGAGAACCTGAGAAGTTTGGGGTTCTGACAAGTGGCTTTCTACATTGGTGGGGGTGGGATGGGGCTGAAGAAGCAGAAACACAGATTGCTCCCAAATCAACCCCATCTTCGTCTGCTAAGGGGGTCTTATATAGGCCTGGAATCTCTTTCCTCCAGGTGCTTGAAACAACATTGGCAGACAGAGGGTACCACTCTGGGTCATCATTCTCAAATCCTGTGGTTCCAAACCAACTTTAGCATCCTGGGTCCCTGGTCAGTAGAATTGCTCTGGGCCCTTCCCAAGCCCCTCCCGAGGACCCCAGGCACTAATTCACCTTTCTCACCCCCAAGGTTGCTCTTTCCTCTGTACCCACTTCTGAGGAAAACAAAAAATCAAAATGAAGAAATGGGAATCAGCACCGACAAACGCTACACATCCATTCCTAGGCCCCAGACAGGTGGCGCTGGCTGTCTCTGCCTGTGGCTGATGGCAGGCCGAGGACAGAGGCTGCAGGTTGCCGTTGACTCCCCTATCTGAGGACAGCGGCTACCTGCACCCCATCCGAAGATTAGCTCTTGCTGTCTACACAGACAACTCAGGGCAGGGGTGGAGACAAGGCTACACCAGGTGCACCTCTGCATTCAGGGATACTTGCATGGAGGGCAAGTGTGCTGTGGCACAGGTATCCTGCCTCTTTGGATTTGCGTGGCTGAGGAATCTCAGTGTTGGGATTAATTCTGAGGCACCGATTCCACAGAAGCCTTGGCATGAGGGAGTGGACTAGAATTTCCAGAAAGAAGTTCACCTGTGTTAAAGGTTCTGCAAAGCTGATTGATTAGAATGTCTGTAGAGAGTTGGAATGTTGCAGGTTCAGAGCCAGATTATCTTGGGCTATCTTTAGTTCCCCTAATAGCCATGCACTGCCTACCCCTGTGTGTGACCTAACATCTGTCCTCATGTGACTATTAGGTAAATCCTTTTGGAAAATATAAACAAACTCCTTCCCTCAACCCAAAGGCTAAGAATGTCATCAGGTAACATCTGAGGCCTCTGACAGAAACTTCCCCAGTTTGCCGTAATCCAGCTCTTTGATGCTTCTACCGATGAATTTGAAAAGGGTTCTTGATTTATGACTTTCCTGGTATTACTACCACAAAATTTCCATGACACTTTTGCTGCATTTGACTGTGGGATTTGGGGTAACCTGAGCTGTTCATCTTTGTCTCCAGAACAAGCTCTCTCTTATTTCCTTTGAAATGAGAGCTGTGTTTCTGCAGTGATGGAGAATTCTCGGAAGCCACGTGGACTTGGGGAGGGGTCTGATTTCGAAGGATGCTGTGGGACCATGGGACCAGCAGCGGCCTTGCAGAGAACAGACCACTGTCACAGCCAGGCTGATGTCCGCAGAGGCGCCAAGAGGCCCATGGAAGTCAGCCATTTCCTCCTCCTGAGAGAGACCCAGGACAGCCCACCGCTGATGGGAAGAGCAGGGCCTCATGGCAATGGTCTGTGTGCCAGCGGGGCTTGTGTGGAATACAGACGACTAATTTAAATTCAGCCGTACTGTTGGCTCAGAGCCAATAACAATGAGACCATCACAGGCAGAAAGGAGGCAGTAAATGGAAGATGAAAGAAAGGAGTAGAGAAAGAAATGTGTGCCCCAGGTCCATTTGGACGTGCTCTGTCACTGCCCGGGTCTGATATCTTAGGAGGTGCAAGAAGCAGAAACAGGTAAAGCGTGTCTGAACGGAGGGAACGCTGAAAGAGATGGGGTACCAAGCCAGGGCAGGGCAGGGCTAACTGCACCCGCGACTGGGACATTACTGCCACCTGTGGAAAAGTTTACCGGAGAGGGGAGAAGAACGGATAGGGGGAAGATCCTGGGCTCCGCCAGCCAGAAAGGCCAGGCTTTGGGATTCATTGCAAGGTATGTTCCTGTTTTGTTTTCCTTCCTTTGGAATCCTTTGTGCTGCTGAGCTGGGCAGGTTTGGGCAGGACAAGCAGGAGTCAGAGCGAGGCTGATAGACTGAAATGGCGCCTGCCCTCCCTCCACAAGGAGCCAGAGGCTGCTCCACTGAGCCGTGGTCTTTCCCATCTGGGGCTGCCTGGGCTGGCCTGCACGGGGCAGGGCGGAAGAGCAACTTCTGAAACGTCACTTACTTTTCATCTGGGTGGTGACCGACAGAAACAAGTTCTCCACGGACTTGTTAAATCCTCTGAAGTGACCAAGTTCCTGTAACTAAAACAGACAGGAGACAATGAGCTGTGAGACCCACCTCTGCCTCCGGGCTGCCAGCCCCCAAACACTGCAGGCGGGAAGGGGTGGGAAGGTGTGCCGGTGTGGGTACAAGTGTGCGTGTCTGGAGGGATAGGGCACAGCCCCCAGGAAGGAGGCATCCCTGGCACTCAGCCATTTCCCTCTGTGTTTTGCAGCCTCATTAAAGGATGGAGCATTATCGACAGGTAGTTCACAAGATAACCACCACCTCTTAGACGTAATGACTGACATTTCATTGGCTCAAAGATGGTACTCGGCTAATTATTGCTTGTTTGACCTCCTTCCTCCCCTAGCTTTACACAAATCCGACGTAGAAGGAACAGAATGCAGGTGACTAGCCTGGAAACACAGAGCTCTCGCTTCCAAAAGGGAACATAGGAAGGGGAAAAACAGCAGCTTTGTTCAGGTCTCATCCATCCATCTACCCACTCATTGGCTACTCCCCATGAAGCTGCTACTTATTTATCTATCTGTATCTGCCTACCCGCTCATCTATCTACTCGTCTATCTACCATATCCATTCGTCCAATGTCTATCCATCTATCCACCCATCCATCTAGTTTCCACTTGTCTATGCACCTGCCTCACCATTCCACTCACCCATCCAACAATGCATGCATCCAGAGACCACCTATCCTTCTACCCACTCACTGACTATCCATTTGTCCACCTACTCACTATCCATTCACTTGCCCACTTCATCAACCCATACAACTATCTACCCGGCCAACTACCCATCTAGCCTCCGATCTATCTATCCACCCTTCCAGTGCCCATCCATTCACCGAAAATATGTCCTCAGAACACAATCACGGGAGAAAATAGAGTAGAATTGTGAGGTTCTTTGAACTCGGGAAACAATGAACATGTTTTCATCTCTCAAACAGACATGTATATTTTCCCCATGTAAGACATAATTGTTCCCCTTAATGCACAGATTGATGAAGACAATCAATGCCATACAACTCCGTGGCACGGCAGTTTCCAAGCACACAGACGCATTATCCTGCATGGGAGACAAGTCAAAGAATTATTTCCACTTCCTAGGTGGAAAACCAAGGTAACTCTGAGGTCACACAGCTAAATTCTTTGGACAGAAATGGTTCTGGTCCCCCTAGAGCCTGCAAACAACATTGACTCATTCCCACGGGCACATCAGTCACACACCCCCACACAACCTGCTCTCTACACATGTCAGACCCACACACACCTAAAGGCACAGTACAGAGTCAGGGATGGAAGCTGGGGACAAGAGTCAGGACAAGATGTCTCAGGGTACAAGCAGAAGGAGCCGGCTGAGGCTGCAGATGGTCCCTGGCAATGGAATAAAAAGGAATCCACCTGTCCAGCTCCAGCTCCAGCTCCAGGAAAGTCAAATCTGTCGGCCTAACTCTCCAGCATCCTCAGCTGGCCTGCCTTCCCCACTTCCCATCCAGGGACCCACAGAGAGACAAGTTACCCTGCCAGGGCTGCCGTGGCTCTGACTCTCACTGAGAGGTGGTGGCGTAGGAGGGACCACAGAGATTTTGCTGCCAAGAAGAGACACAATGATAGGTTAGAACTATGCAAGTTACTAGTTTACATATCTACAAACGTGAGTGTACCATTCAAGCTCTTAGCTTTGTTTGAGTCTAATTTCCTTTCAAAGAAAATGACCCAGCAGCACGGCTTAGCCCTGCTTCTCTGAGCGGGAGCTGCATGCTGGTGTCTCGGTAGGAACACGATGTCTCCATCACATTCTGAAGCCACTAGGGGACCCTGGCTCTCCCCACTCAGCTTCTCTTGGACCCACCAGGCTTCTTATGTGGAGTCCTATCTGGACTCTTGTATGCTTAGTACAAACCACACCAGCAGAAGAGCCAACATGTGAAAGAAAAAAACACCTTTGGAGAAAATCTGGAAGCGTGAGCTAAAAGGAGAACAAATGGGGAATGGGAAAATAAAATAAAAGGTGGATGTGGTCACATGCCTGTAACGTCAGTGCTGGGTAGGCCAAGGCAAGAAGATTGCCTGATGTTCACAGCCAGCCAGGATTACATAGCAATAACCAGACCACAGGGCTACATGACAAGCTATTGTCCAGGGAAGGAGAGGAGGAGGAAGGGAGGGGCACGATGATGGAGGGGAGGAGGGGGAGGAGGGGGAGGAGGGAGAGGAAGGGGAAGCTCTAAGTTTTAAGACCGGATAAATTTCATCATGAGCCAAAAAAAAAAAAAAAAGGCCCGTGGGAACTGTCTGTGGTGTTCACTGAACTCAGCAGAACCGGAGTGTGCGTCCTGCTGCTCCAAGGCTGCCAGGGATTCAGAATTCTGTGTAAAGATGTCAACATCTGTCCACAGACAACAGGTATTTTTTCCCCACAAATAGGTAGATGCCTGGCAACAGGGAAGATGCCACAGAAGGGAAATAAAGTCAACTGCATGGTCTGGGATGTCTCAGACGCTCAATCCAAAGTGGTATTTAATTTTTTACAGCATCTCAGGAGAAGCTGAGGAGAAAAACATTGAGTGTAAAAATGGGATAGCTAGAAAGTTCCTCATGAACATTTGGAAGCTCTTCTCAAACTTTTCCAAGAACTTTACACTTTAAAAAAAAAAAAAAAAAAAAAAAAAAAGTCGTGGTCCGAGCAGTGACCTCTAGAGGTCAGGGACTCATGATGTCCTCTGAGCTCCTGCTGATGTGGGACACTCTGTCCTTCCGTACTCACCTCAGCCTCTGATAAGATTGCAGGAGCTTCGCCCCAGCGGTCTCGTGCCTGCCTGGAGGAGAAACGAGCCAAGGGCAGTCAGTACTGAGAACACACTGTGGGTGGCACAAACACAGGACCAACGCGGTGAGGTGGTTTTAATATTACTTCTTGTGTTAGAAAGGGGTCCTTTGGGGGCGGGGACAGAAATGCTCAGGAGTCAGAAGATGGGTGAGAAGGAGTGGCAGGTGAAGGCACGTGCCACGAAACCTCCCAACTCGGGCTGCATCCCCCAAGTCCATATGGTGCAAGGAGAGAGACCCCTCCCCCAAATTATTCTCTGATCACTACTCGTGTGCTTGGCACATTCATGCACGTGTATGCACACATGCACACGCGCTCACACAAACCACTAATAAACATAGCGCTGGCTCAGCAGTTAAGAGCACGGATTCATTTTTCAGAGGACCTGGTTTTGATTCCCAGCACCCAACATGGCAGCTCACAACCATCTGTAACTCCAATTCTAGAGGATCCAAGGCCCTCTTCTGGCCTTGGTGGGCACATATGTGGAGCACAGACATACATACAGACAAAACACCCATGCACATAAAATAAATAATAAACATAAAAATAAAATTATAGATGGTGGGGATTATTGTGCAGCCTTCCAGTCCTGAAAAAAATCACTGGCTTGTTAATAGCAACCCCCACCACCACACACACACACACATCCTATAATCCATCATGTCTGGGACTGCTTCTATTAGAAGCTGATGTTGAATTAGATTTTCTAAATCTGGGTAATTTGAAACAATCCTTTAAGTTCTCTAGTTCCTTCCCCAGGAAACACTGCATACAGAATGCCCCTTGTGATGAAGAGTTAAGCTAATCTCTTTAAAAATGTAATCTACTTATTTCTAGTTAGAGTGACTAATAATTTCCTAAATCAGACGGCACCCCCCATAGCAGCCCCTTTTGGTCTCATGATGAACTACTCCCTCCCCCAGATAAAATTCTGCCTGTCCATATTCCTGTGACCACAGTGGTTCTTAGCCACCAACACGGTGATGGGTGGGGCTGCAGTGTGGTAGCAGGTTTGTAGCTCAAGGAACTTTCTAGAACCTCCACGCAGCCCAACTCACCAGGGCCCTGGGGGGCAGGAGTACTCTTGTGCTGTTTGAAAGATTTTAATCCATTGCACAGATTTGGGTGTCCGTGTTTCCTAAGGACACACTGGCAGAATGGGATATTGAGGACACCAGGATTGGCAGAAGTGCCTCTGGGAGAGACGGACAACATTCAGAGTTAAACCCTGATGTCAAGTCCCAACCCTCAAAGCAGGATGTATCCCCAACTCTGGGTGTTTAGCTGGGCTGGCTTCAGAAGGTGCAGGAATCCTTAAAATCATATCTAAAGGATTTTTGTCTTGTTTTGTTTTGAAACAGGGTCTTGTATAGCCCAGGCTAGCCTTGAACTCCCTACATAGTCTGAGGAGGTCTTGAAGGTCAAATCTTGGTGCTTCCATCTCCCAGGGCTGGACTCACAGGTGTCCATCACTGCCCCTGATTTTATGTGGTGTGAGGGCTCAAACCCAAGGCTTCCTGTTCTCGAGGCAAGCACTCTACCAACTGAGTCACATCAGCCCATGTGTTTTGAGTCTTGATGTCTGTGTACATTTTGGGGGCTTCATAAAAGTATTCTAAAAGCGACCTGGGGGCATCCCCCTAGGCTGGTCCACTAAGAAGTACTTCCCCAAGGCAGAACAGAAGGCCTCTCCTGAAGGCTGCCAGCTAAACTAGTAAAAACAGAAGGCAACACTCGTATCCCCCCATCTACAGGGGCTGCCTCGATGGCAGTGTCTGGGTAGGAACTGAGAGACAGCCAACTCCACTGCATGGTGACGGTGGACACGGAGGCAGAGGAAAGGGAAGAAAGGTTGACGAGGAAACTGGCACAGCCGTGTACCCAACAGGACCCGGGCAGAGACAAGGACAGTGAGCCCTGGGCACCCACGTCATGGCCCATTTCACCTCTCTCCCCTGCTTGCCCTTGGAGATCCGCAGCACCCAGCGCTGAGGCACAACCCCCAAGGCCACTGTTCTCCCACACCCCCAGATCCGATGCTATCATTCTGTCACCCAGTGCCTAAATCATGAGCCCTACACGGTGTCCCTTGCCTTGCCTGGGCTCCTCCATGCCCTACAGCCCTTGCCCTTTACAGTTCAAATAACTTACAGTTTCTTATTGCGTGCCTGGTTTACCCAGGATGCAGCTGACCTCTGCCTCCGCAATTACTGTCACCCCCCCCACCTTGTCTCTTGGGGGTATTTCCCAGGCATCCCTACCCCAGACTGTCATCTCCTAACCCTCTATGAACCCCCAGTCTGGCCTCTTTTCTTAGGCTCCCGTGGCCACAGAAAAGGGCCTTGCCGCTGTATGTCTGGCTCTCTGCTGCCCCCTGCAGGCTATGGCAAGCTGACGCCCAAGACCAAGTGGGAAGCGCTTCCTTTCTCAGGGCCTGTGCTTGGAAAGGCAGCCCTGAGAATCATTAAAGGGTGCACACACAGCTGTGTTCTGACCAAACTTACATGATCACAAACATTAACTTTTTAAACCAATTGAAAAATTCTAGGGGCTAGAAAAATGACTCAGTGGCTAAGAGCTCATGTTACGCTCATCGAAGACCCAGGTTCAGTTCTCAGCACCCACGTGGTGGTTCACAACCCTCTGAAACTTCAGTTCCAGAGGATCGGATTCCCTCTTCTGACCTCGGTGGGCACCAGGCACGCATGTGGTGCACGTACATACACTCACACATCCATACATATAAAAACAAATAAAACCTTTTTTAAAAAGTTCTTAGCTTACAATGTAAGCTTGCCTCGGGTCCACGTGCCGTATTGTGGGGAAACGGGAGGCTACCCAGAACCTCAGATCCACCCTCATTTGTGGATCAGAACAAAATGATGAGACCCCAAAATGAGGGTGACTGGGTGCACACAGCAATCAGACACACCGCCCGATGCGTGTCTTTTATTCATCCCCTGTTCGCTCTTTCCCCTTGCTTGTGGCTTCTAGTTCTTCAAAACCATTAAATCTTTTGTTTGTTAACACGTTTCTGATTCCTGTAGCCCTCTGAGGAAATGTGCACAGAGGACACTCCCTGGAGCTCAGGGGAATAGGGAGGAGGAGGCCTGGAGGGGCCTGCATCCTGCCCAGCTGCAGGCAAGACCAGCTCCTAGATGGTACGGACTCCTTGGAAGACCATGCAGTAGGTCTTGAAGGCAGCTGATACACACATGCGCATGTGTGTACGTACACACACACACACACATTTTTTTAAAATTAGAGTTCTTTGGGCACACTACTTTCCCCTTCCCCTTCCCCTTCTCAAGTAGGTACTTGGCTACCCAGAGTGAAAGCCCAGGGCTGTATCTCCCTCATAGGGCTAGGAGTTCCCTGCATCCTGAGACACTGCCCACCAGACCCACTCTGTTCTCACCTAGAAGAGGACATGGGGGAAACAGGGCTGCTGGGGGCAGATCAAACCAACCATCACAATCCTCATCTGGTAGGGCTGTATCTGTATAAAAGGGGAAATGTGGATCCAAGCCATGGAGACTATATGGAGATGGTAGGTAGCAATGAAGGCAGAACTGGGGTGAAGCTCCTAAAAGCCAAGGACATGCCAGAGGCTGCTGAGGACCACCGGAGGCTAGACCAACACGTGGAAGCATGGTCTCACCGTCACCTTGGTCTTGGGTTTCCAGCCTCTAACTAAAAATAACTCTCCATTGCTTGGAGCTATGAAAGCGACAAAAGGCTTTGGCACTTTATGGTGGTGTCCTAGGAAGCCAGACCCTTTGTGAGCTAGTCATCACCTTCCTCTCCAGGGTCACCTGAGGCCACCATGGTCCCACGCACTTGGTCCCGGTCAGGTCAGCCTCCCAGACACACAGCGTAACTCAGCCGACACTGGACCTTGTCCGTACCTCTTGTTCGTGTCTTTCTAATGGTTTATTTACAGCAGCAGGATGGCTGCTGTGTGCTGTCAGATTAAACTGTCAACTTGGCACACTCTGGAATCACCTGGGAGAGCGCTTCACTTGTGGAATTGACTAATCAGGTTGGAGCTGAGGTTCTAGATCAGAGCATGTCTCTGGGAGACTGTCTGGGTTGTTAATTGATGTAGGGAGACCCAGCCCATTCTGGGCAGCACCATTCCCTAGTTTGGGGCTCCGAATCGTATAAGCCTGAAGAAAACTAGCTGGGTGTTGAGATTTAAGCAAGCAAGAATGCATTCATTTCTCCCTGCTCTTGCCTGAGGATGTGATGTGGCCAGCTGGGTTCCTGCCTTGACTTCCCCTTGGTGATGAACTGTGACCTGAAATTTTGAGCCAGATAAACCCTCCCCTAAGTTGCTTTTGGCTGTTTTATCATAGCGACAGAACTGAACCTGGAATAATGAACTGTCAGTGAGAGGCTGGTCTCTCACAGGCTACTGTACAGACCCTGTGCCTTTCCCATGGGAAGCTGGCTGTATGTTCATGTCCCCCATTAGACTGAGAAATCTCCAAGGACAGGAGCCTCATCTTCTTATCTTAGGTACCCAGGAGAAGGCATTCCATGCAAGGGGCAGTGGTTACGATTATAATGTTAATAGGAACCGAAACTAGCTAAATAGTGATATGAAGGCTTACTAAGTTCTCCTGACCAACAACTCAAAAGAAGGAACCCCAAAACACATCCCAAAGTCATAAATATGGGGAGGGGGTGGGTGCGGATGGGGGTGTTGACAGAGTTGTGAAGGAAGTAGGAAAGGTCCTGGGGAGGGTAATCAGAATGCATTATATATACATATATATCTGTGAAATTGCAAAGGAACTAAATTGATTTTTTAATGGAAAAGAAAATCAAGATTACTACTTACAAACATTGGGTAAAAGCAGAAAGTTTAAAGGTCAAGGTCTCACTTTATCTATTGATCATGAAAGCTGACTTGATTATCTCTGCTCTACCCAGCTTGATTGGACCAGTCTGAAACTCAGAGGCCTGACAAGCACCCAGGCTGCTGGGAGCATCACTTCCAGAGTGCATCATTCCCTCTGTGGTGGTGTTCTGTGGGCTTTCCTCTTAAGGAGAACCTCGAGAAAAAAAGCAATCAAAAACAGAATCCCACCTTTTCTTCAATCTAAGAAATAGAGGGCTGGAGATATGGCTCATCTGTTAAGAGCACCTACTGCTCTTCCAGAGGACCCAGGTTCAATTCCCAGCACCCACATGGCAGCTAACAACTGTCTATAACTCCAAGATCTGACACCCTCACACAGACATGCATGCAGGCAAAACAAAATAAAAATAAAAATTAAACTAAATTAAAAAAAGAAATACACTATTTTATTTCTGGAAAATAAATGTGATTTCACTAAATACACTAGCAGGAGTGTGAACTCACATGAACTGTAAGTGAGCTCTACAGAACCATCCTTGCCGAGTCTATCTGATGAACGGGGTAGGTGGGCGTTCACTGAGTGAACAGTAATGGTCTTGAGCAGAGCTATACACATACTTAATGGAACCTATCTCTTTAAAAAATTTTTGTTGAGCCGGGCAGTGGTGGCGCACGCCTTTAATCCCAGCACTCGGGAGGCAGAGCCAGGCGGATCTCTGTGAGTTCGAGGCCAGCCTGGGCTACCAAGTGAGTTCCAGGAAAAGGCGCAAAGCTACACGGAGAAACCCTGTCTCGAAAAAAACAAAAACAAACAAACAAACAAACAAAAAATTTTGTTGAGAGAGAGAGAGAGAGAGAGAGAGAGAGAGAGAGAGAGAGAGAGAGAGAGAGAGAGATTTGGGAGTCACTCCTCTCTGTGTGGAGCCTGGAGAACAAACCACAGGAGTTGTCGAAGTTCACTGCTGAACCATCTCTCGCCAGCCCAGCTACTCTTTTGTCCTTTCTGCACAGGGATGGAACCCTGTGCCCTGTGCATGCTGAGCAAGCGCTCTGCTCTGAGCTGTACCCCAGCCTCCTACTGCTCTTCATTCATGAGCCCGAGAGCTTCAGGCCCACACCAGTCTGGTTCTGTCTTCAAAATCCTGTGACCAGATGGGCACTGACTAAGTTGCCTGTGTAGAAGAATGAGACCCTTAAAAGTCATTTGAAAAATTAACCCTGCTTGCCCCAGAAGGGGATGAAGATTTCTGGTCCTCCATCATGACCAGACACAAAACTCACCCTGGTTTGTGATGTAATGGGCCCCGGAGACAGTTAGCTGAGGGAGTGTGGAGGGCCAGCTTCCCTAATCATTTTATTTCCAGTTATTCACAATAGAGGAAGTCTGAGTAGATTATTTACATATAACATTTACTCTCTTTTAACTAGTATTAAAAGTACTGATGCTGCTTGCTGGCTTGTGTGTGTGTGTGTGTTTTTGAGACAGGCTCTTCAGTGCTTTGGTCACAGATGTGCATACTGCCTGACTTTCATCTACTTTATGAACACACACACACACACACACACACACACACACACACACACACACACACACACACACACACACACTACTCAAGGGGTCAGGTAGTCCAGGCTGGTCTCAAACTCACTCTGTACCCAAGATGACCTTGAACGTCTGATGCTCCTGCCCCTGGTGCCTAAGCTCTGGGATTCCAAGCATGCACCGCTGTGCTTCATTTTATACGGTGTGGAGGATCAAACCCAGGGCTTTGTGCACAGTAAGCAGATGCTCTACAAACTGAAGACTATTGAGGCATAAAAACGTCAAATTTGTAGAACAAAATAAAAAGCTACCATCGGCACCAGAGTAAACCTGCACTTCAGCAACCAGCCAGAAGGCGGCGCCCAGGGTCAAGGTGATTTCCAGTTTCAGATTTGCAATCACTAGTGATGTAAAAAAACATCCATCATAATTAACATAGCCACTTTATTAGTGACTCTGGAAACCCACAGTGCTCATAAAGAAGGCCCTGGCGACCTGCCTACAATGACTTGTTCAAGTCCCACCTCATCTGATACACCCTCAGGGTCTCACTGTACTGCAGCTTTAGTGTGTGAAGCCAGGAGCTACATACTTGAACCAGTCCCGGCTGATCAGGAAGCTGGGGTCCCAGAAACCACATCAAAAGCCTTCTGCACACACCACCAAATGCTGCAGAGGGCAGATCTAGAGGAAACAATGCCAAGACGGCCAGGGAAGATTCCTAAAGACACTTCAGAGAAGTGAAACTCTGGGTGCACCACGACTCCAGTGAGAACAGATAAACCTCAACAATACTGCAAAAGCAGGGGCTGGGGAGATGCCTCAGCGGGTAAGAATACTTGCTGCTCTTGCAGAGGACCTGGGTTCAGATCCCAGCACCCACATCAGAGGCATCTTCAGTTCCAGGGGATCCAACACCCTTCTTCTGGCCTCCACAGACATCGTATATATGTTGTGCACATACATGCACACATACAGGCACACACATAAAATAAATAATTTTTTATTAAACCCATAAAACTAAAAGGCTTAGAAAAATGTAGTCTATCACCAGGAAAAAATAAGTAAGCCAAAATAAATAATTTTTTATGCTGTTTTTGTGCAGAATGAGGGACTGGGGTTCATTTTTGCTTATTCTTACATCTTTATTATGCACATGGCCTATGTACATAGTGTGTGCACAGATGTGGTGGTGCGTACCTGTGCACACTCACAGTGTTGGCTCTGTCACTCGCCACCTTGAGCCAGGTTCTCTCACATGACCTGGAGGAGACTGGCAGCCCAGGAAGCCTTAGTGATCCTCCACCACAGTCCTGGGGCTACCGGCACATACGCAGTCACACTAGCTTTTTTATGTGGGTTCTGGAGATTTTGAACCCAGAACCTCATAATTGAGCAGCAAATGCGTTCCACACTGAACCATCCTGCCAGCCCTCTCAAGTCTTTTTAAAGGTTGGGAAGTGGGCACAGTAAACACTACCACAATCTATCTCTATTGTTCTTTACTGACTATTACTTCCATGTAGTCTACTTCCACGGAAATTTTGGTAACGTTTATCTTAAATGGTACATGTCTGATAGGACCATTAAGGGAGAAAAGTCAAGCACATAAAAGGGGAAATTGGTGCTGAGGGCGTAATGATCCCTGGAATTACGACTAAACGTTAAACTTGGCTCTAGGTTTCCAATGCTAAAAAGAAAAGCACCGAACCTTAGCCTGAGGTGGGCACTCGTGGATATAACAACGCCTTTATGGTCAAAGAGCCCTGCCTTAGCCGCTACCCACACTCATAACCTGGTGGAACAAATGATGGGACATTCTGAGGATGGAGGAGATGTGGTCGTCCGAAACCATAAGGTCCATGATGTTTAAGTAGCTGGAAAATGTTCTTTACAAAGTACCGCACAGAGAAAAACCAGGATAAAATTAAAGATAAATTGTTCCCAATCACGCAAATATCATATGAAATTGTCATCAATCATTTTTATACCTAAGTCTCTTACGATTCAACTAAATAGTTTTAAAAAATTAGAACATTTTAATTTAGTGTGGGGGGGGCATGTCAGAGGACAACTTGTGGGAGTTAGGTCTCTTCTGCCATATGGAACTGAACTCAGGTTGCCAGGCTTGGCAGCAGGCACCCTTCGCCCCCAAAGTCACCTCACTGGTCCCTAGTTTTTAAAATGGGAATATATGTACATGAGCACACGTATACACATGGGGGTGAGGCAGACATAATGGATAACAGAACAGTGGGGACTGTTCCCTGGTGGAACGGCTTGCTGTTAACATCGCCATTCTCTTTTCCTGCTCTTCCCTCTCCCTCCCTCCCCCTCCTTAGCCCTCTTCTTCTTCTGATGGCAGACTGAACCCAGGGTCCTACACATGCCAGGCAAGTGTTCTATGAAGCCTTATCTCCAGTCAGCCTCACGCTCCAATTTTTAAATGAATCCACAGTACTTAACAGTCAAAACAGAAGCACAAATGGAATTTGATATTATGCTTCCTAGAGGGCCGGATCATGGGGAGAGGGCAGCTGGCCCATCCCGCCACGCATACCAAATGAAATGCCCTCCCTAGAAGGTGTGTTGGCAAAACATCACAACCCTTCCAAGTGTTCCCGCATCCAACCAGCCATCCTCCTTTTGAAAAATCTATCCAAGGGAATTACAGAGAACTGCCAAGGGCCCTGTACAAGATGTTCGCCACAGTGACCTGCCCCGTGAAAATCAAACAAAGCGGTACCGTGCCTGTCAGTAAGGGAGAGGGCGAACAAACTGCAGTCACTCTATTTGATGTATAAGGTGCAAGGTCCCAAGAAGCCAGACCAAACAAAAATGGAGTCACCCATGCTAAAAGACCCTAACCCTGAGGAAGAGGAAAGATCCCCAATAGATTGGCATCCTGGAAACAGGAGTCTACTTGACCCGAGTTGCATATGGAAGTCCTGAGAGCCCCTTTACAACAAGAAGGAACCCTTACCATGAGTGTTAGCCCTTACTAGAGTAAGTGAGCCGAAGTAACCCGGTGTTAGCCACTGAGCTTGTCCCGCCTTGCACACCCCACTCTCTGCCACTGCTTAGGGGTGACTGCTTAGGGTGCACTCGTTCGATTTTGTACACCAGAGCTCACCTCGGTTTGGGGTGCTCGAGTAAAAGACAGTCAGCTCTGTTACTGAAAACACTGTCATTTCATGTTTTGACAATTCCAAGACCACGAGGTTTTTTTTTTTTTTTCCTTTCAACCAAAAAATTCAGTGCCAAATCTTTTAAAACTAGAAATGCTCATTTCACAGCAGTTAAAGTTTTAAGAGCGCTTACCTTCAGCTGGGAATTTCCTAGCTCGTTCCTCAAAGAACCATTCTCCAGTTTTGATTTTCACATTTCTGAAAAGCAAACAGAATTGTCTTGTTGGGAGCAGGCCTCACTCTCTAGCTCAAGCTGACCTGGAACTCACTCTGCAGCCCAGCCTCACACTCATAGCTCCACTCCTGCCTCAGCGTCTCAAGCGTTTGAGATTCCAGGTGTGAGCAATTATAACACCTTTAAAAATATTTATTTTTTTCAACAATAGTATTATTTTTGTATGGGTGCTTCGCCTGCATGCATGTCTGTGTACCACACACATACCTGGTGACTTCGGAGCCCAGAAAGAGGTGTCAGATCCATTGGAACTGGAGTTCCAGGTACGTATTAGCCACCTGGCCTGCCCCTAACCCCTCTCTATGTAGCCCATGGACACCCAACGTTTTGACTTCTCTGGATCAGTTGAATGAAGAATTGTCTTGGCCCACACATTCAGAAGTGTCCAACCTGAGGCCAGCTTTGAATATGGCCCAACATAAAATTGTAAACTTGCTAAAAACATTGAGGTGTGTGTGTGTGTGTGTGTGTGTGTGTGTGTGTGTGTGTGTGTGTGTGTGTGAGAGAGAGAGAGAGAGAGAGAGAGAGAGAGAGAGAGAGAGAGAGAGAGAGAGAGTTCTGTGCTGTGATAAAACACTGACCGAAAGCAGCCTGGAGGAGGAAAGGTTTGTCTGGCTTCCGGCCCATCACCAAGGGAAAGCCAGGCCAAGAAGAACTCCGACAGGAGCTGAAGGAGAGACCACAGGAGAACACTGCTGACTGGCTTGCTCTCGCTCGATGGTTTGCTCAGCCTGCTTTCTTAGACCACATGGGCTTGGCTCTCCCACATCAGTCATCAGTCAAGAAAATGGGCCCCAGACCTGCCCACAGGTAGATCCAATGGACGCACTTCGCCAATTAATGTTCCCTCTTCCAAGGTGACTTTAGTTTGTGTCAAGAAGACAGAATTACCCTGCACTGTCGTCCTTGTAGATGACAATGTTGTGTCCAGATGTCACTTAAAACAAACGAGCTCTTGCAACCTAAGAGTCACGGGCTGGACACTCCTGGAAGGTAGTCCCTGCCTGAGGGAGGCTGGAAGTCTAAACATCGAACACCTGGTGCTCACTCTGCTTCTCGAAAGCATCCATCTTTATGCTCTTCCACCCTGCTAATGCCGAATTAGCAAACGAGAGATAACTGTTGAACGTGCTTTGCAAATTCCAGCACAGATGTTTGCTATGGAGGAGGCTGGAGGAGCTTAGCAGAAAGCTGTTTTGACCTCATGACTACGAGCAAACAGCGAACTAAATAGACATGTAGGGGCACATCTTCGCTGTGCATCAGACCGCTACATCTGCAGGTGGGGACGCAGTTACATTTATGCTTTATGCGCCGAGAAAGTGGATGTGATGTCCCCCGAGACGCTGAAGGTGTGTTCACCGTTCAGCTGACAAGAGGTGGGAGATGGGTGGATCTGCGTCTTCAGAATTCTTTGAATGCCTGAAGCGGCGCATCCCTGCAGGTCTGTTCTCTGACTAAATCCCTGATGGCGAAGAAACCTGAAGGACACCCCAAAGAGACCCTGGTGACTTGCCAGATGCTCAAGATGCAAAAATTCCGGATTAAGTAATGGACTGCTGTGAAACAGAGCAACAGGTTTCCTGCGTGGGCCAGTCCGGCCTCTAACTCCTGCTGAGAGCGGACTGCATTCACCCCATTAAAAACTCTCCTTCAAACAACCCTGCAGCTAAGATGCGATGCAGTGGCGAAGCAAAATAGTGTGGGTTTGTTTTGTCTGTCCACAAGCCCAGCTGATCTGCTTGCAACGTTGGCACAGGAAAACAGACAGATGTTTATGATTAAATCCTAGGTAACTATGAGCAGAGTGGGGACTTGTGACAGAGATAAAGCAATGATTTTATCAGGCTGCTATCAACCCTTCCTGTAAACATTCACCATGTCCCTTCCCCAGGCCCCCTGTCCATCACAGCCAGAGCCACACTCACAGGTCCCAGCACAGTGTACTGGTGAGTCAATGAATATTCCTGCCTCTCCAGGGAGCACCCTGGGAAGAAAGGGATGAGGTGGGATCCAAAGTGGATAGAGGCTGTAGCAGTGTGCCCTCAAGGGGGGTTCATGTTACCAAAGGGACTGAGCACCAGGCGGGAAGCACTCACTATGGGCACAGCCCTCACCCAGAGGTCTGAGGAGACAGCAAAGAGCAGCTGGCAAAATGCCACAGGCAATATCATGGAGCCTGCAAGACCAGGGGAACGACCATGCTGAGCAAGCGTCACCATGGCAACTAGAAAGCACTAGCAGGAAGCAGCTTTCAGAAACATGGCTGTTGCTGCTGCACAAAAGAACCCCAAACGGCAGCAGGAAATCAGGCCAGAGTGAGGAGACACGGGGCAGAGTTCAGGGGACAGAGTGGGGGGTTTAGGACACTGACCAGGCCCGTGCACAGGGAGCCCTGTTGACGCTGAAAAGGCAGAACCAGCGGGCAGCGGCAGCAAATGCCTTTAATCCCAGCACTTGGGAGGCAGAGGCAGGCAGATCTCTGAGTTCGAGGCCAGTCTGGTCTACAGAGCAAGTTCCAGGACAGGCAGGGCTACACAGAGAAGCCCTGTCTGGAGAAAAACAAAAACGGCAGAACCAAATGAGCTAAGTCCTGACTGAGGCTCAGTTCAGCTGCTTTCCCAGAACACAAAAGAAGGAAAAGACAGAAATTCGGGAGAGAATATAACACAAATGGAGTGTGAAGCCAAGCTGCTCACTAAGAATTATTCTCCAGGCTGGGGCTGTAGCTGGTGGAGCACTGGCCTAGCATGTGCAAGGCAATAAGGTCAATCCCTAGCAAAAGAAAAGAAGGGGGCGGGGATAACCAAATGGAAGAGAAGAAAATATTGGCTTAGAAATGGGCAAATTCAAGAGGCTGAAAAACCAAGAGTTCAAAAGTGTGTTCCTTGGTCCATAAAGATCAAGAGGAAAGACCCCCTTTCCCAGACACTTTTTAACTGTAAGGACCGGGAAGGGGGGCCTGTGGGAGTTTGAATGTAATTGCCCCCATAAACTCATGGGGAGTGGCACTATTAGGAGATGTGGCCTTGTGGAAGGAAGTGTGTCACTGTGGAAGTGGGCTTTGAGGTCTCATATGCTCAAGCCATGCCCAGTGTCTCAGGCTACTTCCTGTTGTCTACAGGTCAAGATGTAGTACTCTCAGCTCCTTCTCCAGCACCATGTCGGCCTGCATGCCACCATGTTGCACCATGATGATAATGGACTGAACCTCTGAAACTGTAAGCCAGCCCAATTAAATGTTTTTCTTTATAAGAGTTGCCATGGTCATGGTATCTCTTCACAGCAATAGAAACCCTAACTAAGATGGGGATATTTCTAGAGCATAAACAGCAAGTGATAAAACTCCTTCAGATGTCTCTGTAATATTACATTCCAGAAGACAAGGAGGCATTTATTGAATTTCTTGATTAAAAGGGCAAGACCCAGGATTAGAAAGCCAGTGAGGTCACCCCACTGTGGGGAGGCCCCTAGAAGGCACACTCAAATCCACTGGCTTGGGAAATGCAGTCCTCCGGGTAATTATGGGTAACTGTGTGGAGAGCAGGAAGTTATGGGGAAATCGGCAGACCCAACTGCTTTCTTAGGAAAAGGGCACATTGTTGGTTTCTGAAAACCAGTAAGTATGCATTTGAATCAAAAGAAATTCCAGACTCTAATCCGACCGCCACCAAAGCACTTCAGCGTAGGTGGGATTTCAGAGTATAGCAGCCTAAGGTCAGCTGTATGGTTGGACAGGAACCCCAGGGCAGCCCTCTTTCTGCAAAATAAAAGAGGTTCATTCATGACAATACTGAAATAGCTGTATCAATGGACCGGGTCGGGAGCTGAGTCATCTGACACCAGTATGTCGAGTATGACGTCTGCTGGTTTGGGAATACACTCTGGTCTGTCTTGTGGACATGCATAAGTTATTATGGAAATCCTTATCAAAGCATAATGTGCGGAAATAACCACCTCCACCCACTTGCCCAGACTCTCAACTCCAGCCCTCTGTGACCTTGAGTGCGCACCAGGGTAGCACTTGACTTGATTACCATGCAAAGTGCCAGCCCGGATAAACTGCCTCCTGGATGGTGACCGGCTCCAGCTGAAGTAAGCAGATGACCACGAAGAGTACAAACCAAAGACATCATAAAATAAAAAGCGCACTAATTCTCCAAAGGGTTTTAAAGGCAAGAACTGCAATCAAGTGTTGACCACAGAATGAGCCCGACCTTCCACAAGAATGATGCACACAACTGTGTGGAAGCATTTTCTTTCTGGGGACGCTGGCATGAGCCTGCTAGTTCTACCACTCAAGAGGTGGAGGCAGGAGAATTCTGAGTTTGAGGCCAGCCTGAACTACCTACTAAGGCCCTGTCTCAACAATGTGTTCTCTTTAGCAAGCAGCAAAAAAAGTATTCCAGTGCTGAGCTCAGTGGACACAGTCCGTGTCACAAGTCTCAAGGTCTGAGTTCGGGTCTCTAGACCCCACATAAAGTTAGATGTGACAGCAGGAGCCTGTAATTCCAGCAACGGCCAGATGGGAGGAGGCGGAATTCTCAGGAGCTCGAAGGCCAGCTACCCTGGCATGCACAGTGGTGAACATCAAAGATCCCGTCTCAGACGAAGGTGGAAGACAGGCCTGGAGAGCTGGCTCTGCAGTTCTGAGTGCGTCCTGCTCTCGAAGAGGACCCGGGTTCAGTTCCCAGCACTCACATCAGGCCGCTCACAGCTATCTGTAACTCCGGCTCCCAAGGGATCTGATGTCCCTGGCCTCTGAGGGCACCAACACATATGGGCACATACTCTAAACATACACAATTAAAAATAAATCTCTAAAATAAAAAGGTGGAAGGCGAGGACCAACACCTAAGGCTGTGTCCTCTGAGTTCCAATGTGTACACGGCACACACGTGCCCTTGCTTAGACATACACACATGTACACATACACAAACATGCACCCTCCCAAGTCAGACAC